TTTGATCTTACACTTATCCGTTTCCCTTCAGGATTCCATGTTAGCTACAATAGTGTGATTGTTCTATTGTTTTCATATTTGCTCAGATGTCCTTTCTTTTGTATCTTGATGAGGTGTCCTACTTTCCAGTCCATAGCCACGTCTTCTTCTTCCCAAACCTCCCTGAATAGAATGTGGAGCATCTTTGAAATTTCCTCTATATCCGACTTTAGTGTTTCCGCTGATATATTGTCACGTCCTACTGCTTTCTCACACTTCATTTGTATGATGTCCATTCTGATTTCTTCCATAGTTGGTGAGGTGAAAGGTATAGGAATATCTGTAGGTGGTACTTCAGTATCCGTGGTATTCAATGGAGCAGGCTTTTTCAAGTGTTACTTGATGTATTCCACCAATCTTTACATCTGTTCCTAAATTTCAGTGATTGTCTTGCCTTCTTTGTCCTTAACTGGTAACTCTGGATTTACATATATTCCTGCTAGTTCTTAGATTTTACTAAAAAATTCTAGAATTTTCTATTCAAGTACATTCGATTGACCCATATTTGTGTTCACATTCACTATAATATGACTATAACATTTCTAAATACTTTATAGTAGGTTTCTATGCCAACTAAACTTCTAATGAAAATGATCTAATTGTATCTATGAATTATCATATTTAGTTCAATTAATACATTGATTAAGGTCATAAGAGCAGAGTAGATCGATATTATTATTATTGTTTGCTTTTGACGGCGTACTTAAACTGTCTCAGTCTTCATAAGCAAAGACGGTTGATGGTTAATAGTGGAATCCAGTTTGACGCGCGTTTCGTCCTATTTGGTACTCGTCAGCTGGATTCAGCTGCATCTCAGAGTTGATGTTCACTCTGAGACTGGAACCTAGTAACTTTCGCTTCAAACGCCATCACTTTATTCACTTAGCTACTGAGGCATAATGGTCACTTACTTGTGCAATGGGATGAAGTTTGAATTCATTTGGTGTTGTTTACTTGTATTATTATTATTATTAGCTTTATTCAATATTATATTTTGGGTACAATATGGAATTCTCAGCACAAGGGATTTCAACAAGTTTCCGTTTCTTTCTTCTTGGTAGTTCCTGACGACAAATATTTGAGTGTTCGTGAGTTAGATGTTAGCAGTTCAACAATCCACATCTGAATAATGTTCATATTTCTGAATGCATATTCCCTGTAAGCCACCACGATGTCTTTGATTAGGCTCTTTTATAAGCTGTACAGAGAAATGTCGTAAACTTTTCACAAATGCACCTGTTAAGTTATGCGACTAATAGGCATAATGATGTGTTGAAACAAACAAGGAAACAGATAAATTGTTGAAATATCCGGATGATAGGAACCGGTGGCCCAGATATTCAAGCAAGCTGCCTGTTGTTTTGTAGAACTGCAATTGATCAATTTCTAGTTTGGTATATGCACATCCTATGAGGACTGCCTCGATATTACCTGAAGTTACAAGCTTAGGATGGTCATATTCCACAAGAAGAGACTAATCAATTGCAGTCTTGAATAACAATGGGAAGATACAAGTAAAACAACATCAAGGGAATTTATCTTAGTCTCCTTTTGTAGAAACATTACTGAATGTTCTTAAAACTTTTGGTTTATCAGTCAGCTCATAGTTTCATCATTCATTATTGTCATATTATCAGAAGGTTACTTTTGCATAATCGTTTTTCTCTTTTTAATTCTTGGAAGTAACAAAATCTCACTTGATTAAGTCTAATGGATAAGAATAGTCGATCGACATACAAATTGGATACTAGTGGACAGTCATTATTGTAATACAAATATATTTCTCATCAACCTGTTATACTTTGTGGTCGACTGGATACGCTGTGATGATGATGACGTGATGGTTCCGCGCCAATTACAGAAACAGTGACATATCGATCGGACCAATAACACAAGAAACCCTTATAAGCATTGTAGAGTAATAATCGATAATGATTCCCGCCTAGCCTAGTCAATTAAGTTCAGAACAGCAATAACAGTCTCTGCAATATGAATTATTTATTACCAACATACTGGGTTGTTTTTTTTATGGCTCAGCCTTCAATTAGGAATTTTAGTAAAGCCTCAATTTTTTACTATTTAAACTTGATCAAGAATAAATATTGTCAGTAAGAAAAAGTAGATATAACTTATATCTCTTACACTAATGGATCCACCTAGAGGAGATGGAAAACCTTGATTCCAAACCAGTGATGCATATGTGAACTATGATTCTGAGGGAACAAATAACATATGAATCTATTGTTGGTCACCGGCTATCATGAGACTGTATCTTCATACGTTTTACTACTACATTGTGGATTAGACCTTTACGTCAAAGACTCTAAAAAAAACCCACCTACTTCAGTTTTCGCATCCAAGCACTATTCCAGCTTTCACACCATTCATTTGATTTGTGTATCACCTATGTTGATAGCTTCTTGTACTAATGTTTCCGTGTTCAAATGAATAAATTAAAGTAAACTAATCCAATACACGAAATTGTGAACAATTATTACATTTTAAGCTATCATTTCTATGCTAACTCATTCCAAGTTAGTGATATTCGTCAATCACACCTAGAATATGTCTTTCATTAAACACATATCTCGAATTCATGACTAACATGGTTGTAATCAAAAGGGGTTTTGTGGAGATTTCAGTATTTACATAGTTAAAATCATGAGCTCATTGAAAGTAGATTACCAAGGAAAACCTTGATGGCCGTTTCGTCCTATTATGGAACTCCTAAGTAGTGCGCATCCACGATCCAAACTCGCGAGATTCCAACCCAGTACCTACCAGTCGCGCGTCAGAGCACTTAACCGATATACCACTGAGCAGGCCGGCATCCGATGGTGTTAATGTTTAACTTCAACCAATCCACGATGTTTGAGCAACCGTTCACCAATTGTCTTTAGTGAGTTCCTATTTTACAACAGACCAGGTTTGAACTCCTCTAGTCACTGCTTCTCACTAGAACTCCGGGAATTATCTCACGAAGTCAGTCACTATTGAGCACATGTTTAAGTATTCCTGACTATTACCTACATTTAAATATATAGTTAGTAATATCGATTCTTATCTAAATTAAACAACCATACCTATTTATTCATTCATTCTTTATTGAAATCAATGTCTGTTCCCTTTTCTTTTAATTTACATACATATATCATTTACACCGACTACCACTATCACCTTCTCTCTCTCTCTCTCTCTCTTCATTTCATACATTATTCTCTTATTTTATAACCGACGGCGGTTTCATACTTTTAGTTGTTATGGTTTCAGTTTTCTTTTTTTCTCTTTTCTTTTTAAAAAAAAAAAGAAAATAAAAAGAAAGAAAAGAAAACTTCTCAACAACTCATAAGATTAAACATAAGAAATAACAATAAAGGATACAATGTGTAAAGTACTTTTAATTGTCCTGAGAAAAAAAAACAGTAACACACACACACACATACACAAAAGAGAGAAAAGAATTTTTAGACAAATAAAAAATTGGTGTTATACAAAAAAAAATCTACCTGTTTCTATCACTATTGTTTTAATAATGAAAAAAAAAGAAAAAAAATTTTTCACTCTTTTGTTAATATATACTTTCATTTATTTCACACACCCTACCCCACTACACCTCACCTCACCACCACTCCAACCCCCCCCCACTATTTATGAAAGAAAGATTGAATTGGAAAAGTGCGGATTATTGAATAATTTGAGGATGGAAACAAAAAATTTTTTTTTAGTTGTAAACATGTATCAATGAATGAAAAAGAAAAGAAAAAAAGAAAAAAAAATTTTTTTCTTTATCAGTTATTTTTTTTTATTTTTTCTTAATTGAATTAAAAAATTATTGATTTTTATTGTTAATAGATCAATTGAAAGAAAGCAATACAAAATTATTATAATAAGAAGAGGGGGGGTTTTCGTAGAGATTTTTAATAATTTTTTTATATAGTTGAAATCATGAGTCAATTGAAGATAGACCACCATGGGAAACGAGGAAGTACCGGGCGGCTATTTCGTCCTATTGTGGGACTCCTCAGTGGCAGTGTGCATGATTAAACATAGTTAATGTAGTTATAGTTTGTTTTTTTTTTAAAAAAAAAATAGGTTTCAATATACATAAAAAGAAAAATTTAAGATTTTCAAATACAACATAGAAAATAACATCATTTGATTGAGAAACTTTGGAAGATGTGAAATTTTTTATGTATCTGGGAAGCATCATCTATAAAGAAGAAGGATCTGACGTAGATATAAAAACGAGGATTGACAAAGTAACGACAGCATTTCTATAAGTAAAGAAAAAATAGTACTTTAATGAACTGTCACTTAATATTAAAATCACAATCTTCAATACGAATGTCAAGATAGTTTATTCTATTGTATAGTGTTAAAAATTGGAGAATTACTATAATCAACATCAACATGGTACAACAACTTATAAACAATTGTATACACAAGATAATGAATGTCCATTGGCTGAATAAAATTAGCAACAGCCTACTATGGGAGAGAACAAACCATTTTCTAGTTGAAGAGGAAATGAGGAACAGACGATGGAAATGGATAGGGAATACATTTTGAAATCATTAGACTACATTATGAGACAAGCGCTAACTTTAAATCTTGAACAGAAAAGGTAAAGAGGAAGGCTAAACAACACAATTCGTCGATAATTGGAAGCAGACATGAAAAGGATGTAAAGCACCTGAAGAAAGAGTGGAAAGCATTGTCGAGAACAGAGTTTGATGGAGAATGCCAGTGGTTAGCCTATGCTCCTCCTCTATGAAAGGTAACAGGTGTTAGTAACAGTTAGTCAAATAGTTTGATTTAACTGACATTTAAACAGTTGAATTCACAATTTTATCAAGTACATCTTCATGTGTATTCATATAAACCACAGTTAATTTATCCATGTACATAAATATATCGTTTTATCTTTAAAATTCCCGCTAACTTTTTTTTCAATTCTCAAGGTCATTGAAACATTTTCCCATTTAAATTTAATTATGGAATATGTAGCTGGTGGTGATTTAAATCGAAGAATAATTAAATATGGTAAATTAAATGAACCAGAATGTAGAATTGTATTTGCACAATTAATAGCTGCTGTAAATCATTTAGTAAGTTTCATTCTATTTTTTTTTTTTAAAAATGGGTATTTAAAACAAGGATTTCATTCAATGGTTATGAATACTTTCATCCACGATCCTACCTCGTGGATGAGCACTGCCATTGAGGAGTCCCACAATAGGACGAAATGGCTGTCAAGTGCTTCCAGGTTCACCATAGTGATCTAGCTTCAATTGACTCATGATTTCAACTATATAAAAAAAATTATTAAAATCTCCACAAAACCCACTTCTGATAATGATCATATGCCCACCAGTGACTGACTTCAAGATACATGTTCTGGAGTTCTAGTGAGAAGCAGTAACCAGTGGAGTTCAACCAGGTCTGTTGGGAGTTAGTAACTCACTGAAGACAATGGTGGATGTATCGCTCAATTTAGTGGATTGGTTGAAATTAGGCATTAACACAGTAGAATGCCGACCGGCTCAGTTGTCTAGAAGTTAAGCGGTCGTGCGCGAAACTGATCGGTCCTGAGTTCGAGTCTCACGAAGCGGGATAGTGGATGCGCACTGCTGAGGAGTGCCACAATGGGGCGAAATGGCTGTCCAGTACTTCCAGGTTTTCCTTGGTGGTCTAGCTTCAATTAACTCATGATTTCAACCATATAAAATTACTAAAATCTCGACAAAACTCCCTTTCTGAAAATATAAATTTATCAGTTTTATATAGAATGAAAGTCACAATGACAGGAAAGTTTGACTATAGAGTAAAATGGATGAAATTTATACTACTGAAATGAAACCTTAATTAACACGTATTTTTGTCCCTCTTAGGATTCATCAAGAGAGTTATGTTATTGACTGTATGTCAAATCTATAAGTTGGATAATGTTTGATCCTTCATATAAAGAAATTCAGAACTAAGATAGTTGAAAACAGTTCACAGAGAACTCTGATGGATCAAGGGTAGGCACTTGTTACAAAGTGTAGAAAGTATTTACCCTTTAATCTTGCACAATTGAAGACACTGTTTGAATAGATCAGTGATAACTCTTCTGACTTTGATAGTAGGCAATAAATGTTTAAATCGTACAAACACTATTAGTTCCCTTAACACTAAACTGGCAAAGCAAAGGCAGCATTCTTACAATTGAAGAACAGATGAAATTCAGAACAACTGTCAACTAAATTCAAAGTGAGAATCTTCAATACGAACGTCAGCACAGTTAGTCCCACTGTACGGAGCTGAAACGTGGAGAACTACTAAATCCATCGTCAAGAAGGTACAAGTATTTATAAGCAGTTGTCTACACAAAATACTCAACACTCACTGGCCTGTTACTATCAAAAACAGCGTTTTATGGGAAAAGACAAACCAGCTTCCAACTGAAGGGGAAATTATGAAAAGACGTTGGGAGTGGATCGGACATACATTAAGGAAATCACCATTACAAGGCCAAATCAGCATTACAAGGCAATCCCTAACTTGGAATCCGGAAGGGAAGCAGAGAAGAGGAAGGCCAAGGAACACATTACTTTGGGAAATAGAAGCGGATATGTAAAGGATGAATAACAACTGGAAAGAACTGGAAAATATTGCCCAGAACAGGGTTGAATAAAGAATGCTGGTGTGTGGCCTATGCTCGTCCACGAGGGGTAACAGGCGTAAGAAAGTAAGTAGGTATAACACTGAACATAAATCTTTCTAAAAACGTTCCGGTTACAATAAAACCAAAAAAATATTGATGCAGGATAATATGAATTCATTATATTTCGTGGTTTCTCATCAGCTACATACAACCATAGTGTGGAACAATTGACATAAGTGAATGTAAAGGATTGGAATGACAAAAGGTTATCAATGATAACTATATATATATACAAGAGAATGTCAGAGGTGATTAAGTATTAGAATAAAGGAATCATAAAGGGTGAGTGGATTTCAAAGACAGATAAGATCAAATGTGTGATTATTTTACAGGTAATGAAGGAGTCATGGAATTCAAAACAAATAGAGGACGGGTTACGTAATCGTTGAATACAATTCGAAGTGTTCATATAATTTAAAAGAAACAAGTGAGTGGAAATATGTGAATGAAAGGGTGGTTTAAGAAGTGGGCATTGCAAGAGGAATATAATACTAAGCTCCTTACTATTTGACTTCAATCTTGTACTTTAAAGTGACTTTACTTTTGATTTTCCAGTTATTCAGATTACTGAACTCACTGTAAGTCAATTATAAGAATTAGATAACTATTAGGTACTAAACAAACATGCTGGGTTGCCTATGCTCCTCCACGACGGGTAACAGGTGTAAGTAAGTAATTAAGTAAGTACTAAACAAGCATGATATTGATTACTCATTAGTATTTAATCAGTTCAATGTAATAAATCACTGCCCACATGATGAAATGTTTTGAATCTTCGTAAGATGGTTAATGGATTCCTGTATTCATAATCATACTTCCTAGATGCGACTTCAACCTCCTACTTGATTAAGAATACCAAAAATGATTAGGAAGCTATATTTGTATACCAAATCCCAATTGTACAATATGTTCTTCAAAAAACTCAATTAGAGTACATCTATAAGAAATAAATCTACTATTCAGTCCTTACGAAGTATCTGATACGAATGATTCCACGAATCTTTTGAATAACTGATTTCTAAAGCTAAATAAGGAGCGTGAAGAATCAGAGCTAAAACTTTTCATTTAGAAATGAAAAATATGTTATAATTATTGAACTACTTGTTAGTAGTATAACTTGATAAACAAAAATCTTACCCTATGTAAGTATGGACAGTTAATACCTAGACAATATACATATTCAGAAGGGGATTTTGTAGAGATTTCAGTATTTTTATAATTGAAACCATGAGTCAATTGAAGCTAGACCACCATGGAAAACCTAGAAGCACTGAAAGGCCGTTTTGTCCTATTGTGGGACTCCTCAGTGGCAGTGTGCATGTACGATCCCACGTCGCGGGTGAGATTCTAACCCAGGACCTACCAGTCTTTTAAGGAGCATTGCTGAGGAGTCCCATAATAGGACGAACCGGTGGTTCAATGCTTCTAAGTTTTTCATGGTGGTCTAGTTTCAATTGACTCATGTTTTCAACTATCACAATATACATATATTAATTACATTATGTTCATCAGTGGAGAAGTGTTTTCTAGTTGACAACTTCACACTTATTTTTGTAGTTAATTACGAATGAATACTGGTATAGAGAAGAAAATCTTATACTGATAATTTTGGTTGTCAAATTCGTAATTTTATATCATGAACTGAATATGTCAGACGATCACTTAGAACCAGGAGGTACTGGCTAATTGTTCAATCTTTGTATGACACTACTAGACATTGTGAATCCACGATACCACCTAAGACCAAAATCAAGAAAACTTGGTCTCTTTTTGAATGTTTAACCTTCAGATTATTGAGCTGTCTTCTAATGCTTTACAATTATAACTTTATTAAATTGACAGTGAGCGATTATCTTCTCAGTTCTGATTCGGCTGAACTATACTGTTCAAGTATATTAGTTGTTGTCATATTTCCATTGATGTTTAGGACTGTAACTGATCTATTTCTCCTGGTATATGTTCATCATGTGAGGATTGTCTCCTAATATTACAATAAAGTCACAAGAATTTTAAGCAGAGATGGATGGTAACTGTCAATAGAATCCAGGACACGCGTTTTATCCCATTTGAGACTCATCAGCTAGATTTACTTACATAATGAATCACAAAAATTTACACTTCAAAAATTATCATTCATATTATTTGTTGTGAGTTAACAACTCACTGTAGACAATTGGTGAATGGTCGTTCGAAATTCGTGGATCGGTTGAAGTTAGACATTAAGACCGTTGGATTACGGCTGGCTCAGCGGTCTATCGGTTAAGGGCTCAGGCTCGAGACTGGTAGGTTCTGGGTTCGAATCTTGCCCGTTAGGCGGGATCGTGGATGTGCACTGCTACTGAGGAGTCCCATAATAGAACGAAACGGCCGTCCAGTGCTTCCAGGTTTTCCTTGATGGTCTAGCTTCAATTGACTGATGATTTCAACTATGAAAATACTAAATCTCCACAAAACCTTTTCTGTTCATATTATTTGTTAAATTATATCATCATTTTCAATAAAACTAAGAGTTGTAATTTAAGTGGTTCATCTTAGACTTTTTCATCCTAAGCTATGTAATTCAATCATGAAGCTTTAATTGTCTTACTAGGCAAGATTAATGGCACAAATATTTAATAGAAATGAAGTATTTGAATTTATTCACAAATGATTGATACGTCGATCTTGATATTGATTGATTGTTACTGTTTTCCTGTGAGTGATTGGATACAGGCATGCATGGAGTGTTAAAAAGGCAAAGTATATAGTCATATTAGCTCCGCAGGGGGTTCTTTCTTTCATCCAGATCGTAGATTCAAACATATACATATCGATATCGTGAGACCAATGCCATTTTCAAATGGATAAAACTAAATTTTCACATGCATCGATAGATTCACACGATGACCTGTAGCGGCAGTGATGAAAGAGACCTCAGCCGAGTCTGTAACCAAATCCTTAATCGAGAACTCGATTTCTTATTATGAAGTGCTAGCAATTATCACAACTGATAGAGGAGTTCAACTCAAAAGTCGACTCTTCTAGCAACTAACACAACTCCTCGGAGTTGAACGCGACATCCTACCATCCAATGTCGAACGGAATAGTTGAACGTCTGCATAGGCAGTTGAAAGCGTCTCTCACATCTGTCATTGTCAACAACAATTGGGCTAATATACTTCATCTAGCCATATTGGTTATAAGAACAACAGTTAAACAGGATATAGGATGTTGTTCAGCAGAGTTAGTATATGTAACTACTCTACGTTTACCCGGAGAATTTTTCACTCCAGATAAGTATTCCGACTAATGTAGCGAACTATGTGCATCACATGAAAAAGCACATGAACGATCTAAAAAATAACACTTACCAGACTACAATAATGACAAGTGCTCATACTGCAAGAACTGAATAATAGTACTGACGTATTCATCAGAAGAGATAATGTACAACCACCTTTATAGCCGAATTTTAACGATCCGTTTAAAGTGATTACAAGGGTAGATAAGATAGTTGCCGTAGCAAAAGCTAGAAAAACAAATGTAATCAACATCGATCGTGTAAAACCAGCTTTCATCGATGATGATCTTGAATCAACAAGTACAAAAACTCCCCGAAGACGGTCATATCAACAAAACACGAGTTCGAAGAATCAACGACGCTAACAGGGTAATGCAATTACAGCCCTTTATCCTTGTTTATCCATTTGATCTTATAGTTATTACATCATATTCAATATTCATAGGGTTATGTAGACACAAATAGATTACTCTTATCATCTTTTAATAATTGATTAATATTTCTTTTTCTCTTTCTTTTCCCATCATCCCACCTCACCTCATCTCCCCTCTCAACAAACACAGCATGAACGTAATATTGTTCATCGAGATATAAAAGCAGAAAATATCTTATTCACATATGATTTTAAATATACTACTCAAATCTATAATAAATCATCTAAATTAAAAAAAGGAACAAAAATCAAAGGTAATGATGTTAAACAAAAAAAAAATCATCCAAATTTTATTGATCCAAATAAACAAACTAATAAAATACAAAAATTATTACATAATCATCATCATCATCATCCTCAGAAACGATCTAGATCATCAGAGAAGAATGATCATTCTATTAGAACATCATCATCATCATCCAAATATAAAATGAAACAAGAAGAATATCAATCAACTAGTTATGATAGAAAAAAGTTGGGTAAATCAAATTCAATTGAAAATGATGAAATTGAAGAAAGTTTAGGTGAGAATTCACTTGTTTCCCCTTTCTTTATATGATGTAATTACAGTAGATGATATAGATTCAGGTACATCCAATTGTTGAGTCCCTAATAGGATGATACGCGTGTCAAACTGGATTCCACTGCTAGCCATTATCCATCTTTGCTTATAGAGCTTGTGAATTAAGGCTATATCGATACAGTCTGCATAGGATGCATATATGCCAACAAGAGACTGATCAATTTCAGTCGTAAACATCAATGGGAAGATTTAAACAAACAATACTAAGTGAATCTAAAATTCATCCCATTGCACAAGCAAGTTTCTAACAGGACTCAGTGGCCATGTGGATAACGCGATGACGTTTGAAGCGAAAGGTATTGGGTTCAAGTCCCAGAATGAACATCAATTCTGATATGTAGATATATCCAGCTGATGAGTCCCAAAAAGGACGAAACGTGTGTCAAACTAGATTCCACTGCTAGCCACTACCCAACTTTGCTTATAAACGTAAACAAAATTTATATTTCAATAGTTGAATTCATAAATCTATCTAAGCTAGACTACCAATGATAATATGAAAACATTAGATGACCGTTACGTCCTAGGATGTAACTTCTCAACAGTGCACATAAATGATCCCGTACGTGGGACTCCAACCAAGGATTTTCGACCTTGCATATTTTGGGTTAAAACAAGATATATAAGTAAACAATATTACTTTCAATTAGGTCGTCATCAGGTTCTATTCTAATATTATGCATACATGAAATCATTAAACTAATCGAAGTAGTTTATGTATTGATGATAACAGTGGAATAGATTACATAATTAATTAGAAAAAGTAAAACGTACAATCTGTATATGTAGTAAGATGTGTAGTAACTGGGGCAACAATAATAAAGGCATGAATCAATGTTTCATAGCTGGAAGTAAATCAAATATTTGTGATTACGTAATAAGAGAAGTTCAAATAATTGAATAGTCAAGTGTATACTTGAAGAAAAGTGATAATGAACAATAAACGAAAAAAGAGTATAATAGTAATGATGATCAATAAAGTCCTTTATTAAGGCTAATCGATCAAGAATAAGACAAGGATACGACAAATTTCTTATGAATACAAAGACTTGAATTGTTAACTGGAATCCTTATAGCTTCTGATACACATGGACGAAAAGTTCTAGTGGGCGGCTTATACACCTCCACGAGGGGTAACAGGCATAGGTAAGTAAGAATGTATGTATAAGAGACGAGATAGAATCCCTTTAAGGACATATAGTAGGTATACAATAAGTCACTTTCAATAATTTATTTCTACCTACCATATGATTGTTATGAGTCAAGCGCTAAAGAAAGGAGTTTCATATTGTTTCGATCAAACCTGTTCCTAATTTTTATCTATTTTAGGCAACTCTAAATTAAATTGCAGAATCAAAATAGTATCAAAGAAGTCCTCGGGGAACTAGTTAAGTAAGACTGTCTGAAATGGATTTGGTTTATAAAATCATAATATACATGATATATTCGTTGATAGTGAAAGACTTTGATCGGTTAAATATATTGTAAATCTAATAAGATTAATCAACGATTCAACGACCTATCTAATCATTGCCAAAACCTTAGAATTTAGACGTTTTACATTCAAATACTTACAAATCAGATGAAGATAGCACAGGCATTTGTAGTTTGACAACACCTTGCCAGTAACACCTTCTATAAATGAATCACGCCCACCCAGCGAGAAAGTTGGAAGATATATTTGATAGGCTATCAGTATATCGGTGACTGATCTAACCTGGCTATTGGTTGCAAGAGAAGTTGAGCACAGCGTATCCACTCGTGATCTGGTGGGGATGCATTATCAAGCGCCTATAGCTGAGTGAGTCCATTAAAACTAATGTGGTCAGCATCCAATGTTGAACATTTACAGAGCTATTAATTTCAGGGATTTATTCACCGTGACAAAGGAATATCTAGATAGACAAATCAACGTTTACCCTCTTCATATCATTCCACAAATTATCACCATGATCACAATCTGAAGGTTAATCATCTAGTAAATATGAATATATATATACAAAATTGTGTAAATTTCATAGATCAATATTATCATATTATAATCTTTAAAGCACTAAGTTCTCCATGAGATCTGGATGGTTGTTATGCATTGTTAGGGAGGATGTTAACAACCGTACACTTTATACACCTCGTGGAGAATAAAAGCCCGACAAACTTTCTTTAACTTACTTTATCTTTACTTCTCTTTTTTATAGTTGTTTCCAGTTGCTATTCACTCTTTACATGTCTGCTTCCACTCCTAGACGCAGTGTGTTATTTGGACTTCATCTTTTCCATTTCCCTTCAGGATTCCAAGTTAGCACTTACCTCGTGATACACTTTGATGATTTCAATAATGTATGTCTTATCGATCTCCAACATCTCTTCCTAATTTACTTCTGAGCTCAAAGCTGTTTTGTTCTCTTCCACAGTAGGCTGATGTTGATGGTATCCGGCCAATGGACATTCAGTTTCTTACGTAGACAATTGCTAATAAATACTTGTACATGTTTCATCATGGTTGTATTAGTTGTCCGATTGTCAGTAGAACTGTCGTATTTAAGATTCTGAATTTGACACTCATTGACAGTCGTTTCGAGTTCTATATATTGCTTAATTGTAGGAATGCTGTCTTCGCTTTGTCACTCTGTGCCTTCACATCTGCATCAGATCCTGCTTGCTCATCAATGATACTTCCCAGTTACGTGAATGTTTCCACATCTTCCAGAGTTTCTCCATCAACTGTTATTGTGTTGGTGTTCTCTATAGTGAATCCCATGATCTTGCATTATCCCTTCTACATGTTGAGGTTTACTGATGTATACAGAAGCTGCCGCTACACAAGTTGTCTTCTATTACTTCTATGAATCCGGTGTCCATCTTGTTGTGCTAAAGAGGTATGGCAACTTGGACCGATGCATAAATGTGCCTGGTCCTACGTTGTAGCTGACTGACTGACTGACTGTCTTCACCCCCATTTGTTGGTGTGTATGAGATGGAAGAGCCACGTCATCCTTCGTGTCCAAATATCCTAGTTGATTCCGATCTGTCCATTGTTTTCCGTGCCTCCCCTAACAAGTCTAGGTTTTCATAATCCAGCCGACCACAAAAAGAGAAAGGGGGAGAGAGGTAAGTTTTTTCTGACACCGGTCCCTCCATAGAATGCGTCTGTCAGCTTTCCTACATGCACAACTTTCCAGTGTAATCCATCCTATGAATCCCGTATGATGTTGATGATCTTCTCAGGTACATCATAGTATCGAAGGAGATTCCGTAAAGTTCTCCCATCCACGCTGTTATACACAAGACAGATAGGTCCTGGGTTCGAATCTCGCTCGCGAGTGCGGGATCATGGATGCGCACTGCTACTGAGCAATTCCACACTAGGACGAAACGGCCGTCCAATACTTCCAGGTATTCCATGATGATCTAGCTTCAATTGACTCATGATCTTAACTATATAAAATATCTTCTTTTTATTTTGTTTTCTTATTTTGATATTACAGATTTATGCCCAGATCATTATCGTGTGAAATTAGTTGATTTTGGTTTTAGTAAATTAATAAAAGAATCAAATCAACAATTAACAACATTTTGTGGTTCACCAGCATATGCTGCACCAGAATTATTTGAATCAAAATCGTATGTAACATTATGATTATCCTTTTTTCTGTTTTTGAAAACTTGATTCTAAATTGTCAGTAGTAATAAGAGTCATATGTTGATGGAGTATTGTCCTACGAGCTGGATGGTTTGATTATGGAGCTTTCATCGTCCTTCTGAACGACAACATCAGCACAAACTTCGGGTAGAAGTGAAGTGTGGAGAAATTCAAACACTTCACTTCTACCCAAAGTTTGTGCTGATGTTGTCGTTCAGAAGGACGATGAAAGCTCCACGACCAAACCATCCAGCTCAGAAAACAAAACCCTACCATATCTAATTTAAACCTGTGTCACCGAGCTGTTTTATTTGCCAATAACATCCTGTAAGATTGAGTGACGAGTTTCTAGATCATAAGGTAAATTTGAACTCCACAAGGTGTATCAGTTTTATCAAGATTACAAATAAAGTTTGGTCAAAATCACACAGTAGCACGTAAAGTAGATCGAATAAAACCTCCTGGCTTTTGGCATTCATTACTCGACATACAAACATTGTGTACTCAATGTTCAGCTGTTAAACCAGACCGTTGCTGTTACCTTGACGTGGTGGTCGAGCATGCTTATCGTCATGAACCAACCGAGCTATACTGGCTGGAACAATCGTTCTTCAAGGTTCTACCATGCCAGACAGATCGGTTGAAGAGCGGTTAGACTAAAAGCATCAAGCCCAAGGTTCAAAGGTGAAGTCGTACTGTTAACTGTACAGAGGTGTGACAGTAGTAAGGTGTTTCCTTTAGACAACCAGCATAACAGCGATGCTGCCTTCCAACAAGGAGGGGTGGGATTAGAAAAGGTTAACCCTGAAAATGCAAACCTCGCCTTATCCCACGGATATCCGCCTCCCATGCTGAGGTCTCAACAAGTACGGAGCTAACACAAAAAGGTCGTGTGTGACCAACCTCAAGCAGTTATCCCTTAGACACTGCGGTCACGCCCTCAGGTCACTAAGACCACTTCTAATCCAATATTTTGTACACACCATTGATCCAGACGATCAAAGGAACTAAGCAAAACGAAATGATGCTCAGTGGATAAGGCATGTAAGCCAGTTCCATTTAATCAAGCGTTAGTCAATATTAATAGCCAGATAGAAAATTAAGTTGCAGACATGTGATGATTAGCATAAGAAGTGTACACACACATATACTCATGTAAAAACACTCAGGGTTCATAAGTGAATACTTAACAAAGTCAAAACGTGACTCAAGAAGAATGAATAAATTGGCCTACGTAGAAGCTAGAATAAGGTATATGGGTTGAACATAGCAACCGACACTACAATTCTACTCCATTTTCTGTCGCATTTGTCACACTAATGAAACATTTGGACTACCTAGTTTCCAGTTATTAGAACAATATAGTGAAACTTCTTAATAGCATGAAAAATATGTTCTCACTGGATGTAGTATCTTTGTTTACCAACGTACCACTTATCGAGATTGTTGAGTTTGTATGCAAGCAACTATCAGAAAAAAAATCAACATTGACTTGTCTGAAGGAATTGTATTCAACAATACTTATTAAAGGCAAATAGACGAGATAGCTATAAGCTCACCTCTAGGCCCGATTCTAGCTGATCTCTTCCGAGCCAAGTTAGAAAATGGACCACTTAATGAGGCTATTGAGAAGTTCGATCTATACTGCCGCTACATGGACGATACAGTCATTATCTTAGATCAGAACACCGGTAATGATAAACTCCCAGAACAGCTCAACAGTGTACATCCAGCGGTTAGTTTCACTGGTGAAGGTGAATGTGACAAAAAGCTGAATTTCCTTGACGTCACACTAAGCAGGCGAAGTGATGGCTCGTTAAGTACTGTACTGTAAGTCAGGAGCTGGAATACACCAATAATTCACTGATAAGGACCGGCTACCCTTGTGCTTTCATCAAGAGGTATACATATGATACAAGAAAGAAGTCTGAGATTTCAACTGTTCGAAAGAAACCTTTATATATGAAACTACAATTCAACAGGGATGTGGCTAGTGATACTCTGAAAAATAAGTTAACGAAAGTAATTAGCAGGACATTCTACGCACCCAATCTTACGTTGACTTTATCGAGTCGACCAGCGTTGTCTACTCAAACGAAGGAAAAGTTACCTAAGTTGGCTTCCTCTATGTGGATCTACAAGTTCAGCTGCTCCTGTGGAAATAGCCATATCGGGTGTTCTACTAGACAACTTAATCAATGAATGAGTGAACATCTATCAGCATGGTTTGAGAAGGGTCAGATAAAAACAATATGCAGTTCTATCTTGGCACATCTAATTGATAGTGGTCATATTGTTGATAAATTGAAATCATTTCCCAACGTAGTTCGTTCCCGTCTCCTTCACATAGCAGAAGTCATAAGAATCCCTACATTTCATTTTCATTTATATGTACAGAAGAAATTTGCAAACCGCCTAATGTTGTTCTAACACAAAATCTGTATTTCTGACGTTTCGTGACTTAATGTAAACTACTTCTTCAGAGTACTATTGTACTATTTTAACTCATATCAATTTAATCAAAAGGGGTTTTGTGAAGATTTCAGTATTTTTCAAAGTTTAAATCACGATTCCATTGAAGCTAGACCACCATCGAAAACCTGGAAGCACTGGACGGCTGTTTCGTCCTATTATGGAACTCCTCAGTGGCAGTGTGCATCCACGATCCCGCCCTGGCGAGATTCGAACCTTGGACCTACCAATTCAGTTACTTGTTTACTCTGAAGAAGTGACTTAGATTAAGTCACAAAACATTAGATAATCTAATTTTTCTACTTTCTACGTAATGCCTACTAATATCTAACTATTTACATATAATTTATCTTTATTTTTCAGTTATCGTGGTGGACCAGTTGATATGTGGGCACTTGGTATAGTATTATTCTTTATGTTAACTGGTTTATTACCATTTAATGGTACAACTGTTGGACAAGTAAGACGTTTAGTATTAGATAATTGTGGTTTACAACCACCAGATAGTTTATCACCAGCAGCAGCTGATTTATATCGTAATTTAACAGCACGTCAACCTGATCTACGTCCAACTGCATCACAATTAATTAAATATGCACAATTTGCTAGAAAAGATTTAACACCAATTGAAATTGTATTACGTCAACGTTCAACATGGACAAATTGGTTAACCGGTCAAACATTTCCTAAACCATTACCTCGATTTAAACATTGTCCACCTGTAAGTTTACAATGAATTATAACATTTTTTAATAGTTGAATTCACGAATTGATCACCATTGAGAACTTCGAAGCAATGAATGATTGTTTCGTCCCAGTATGGGACTCTTCAGCGGTATTAAGGGTTTTTTACGTGGGACTCGAACCGACAACTTTCGGTCTCGCGAGAGAACACTTAACCTCCAGATCACTGAACTGGCCGGTACCAAACGATGTTAAAGTCTAACTTCAGTTGACCCATAGACTTGCTCAACTATCTATCCATTGTCTGAAGTAGATACCTATCTCTAACCGACACGGACTGAACTCCACTAGTTACGGCCTCTCACTAGAACTCCAGGAAATCCAATCTTGAAGCCAGTCATTGGAGAGCACATGATGAGTCCCGAATAGGATGAAACGCGCGTCCTTCATTTCACTGCTAGCCGCTATCCATCATTAATTATAAAATCTAATTTTTTGTTATTTTCTCGTTATTATTTAACAGCTTCCTACAACTCCTCAAATCAAACAAAGCCTTTTAGATTCATCTTCATCAGGATATAAAATAAACAAAACAGTATCCATTGATAAAACTATCTCAAATGATATCGTTCCTTCATTTGATCTAATTCATAAACAATCAATCAATACTATTCAAAACAATATAGATCATCAATCTGACATTCAGACATTGAATAGTGATAATAAAGAAGGATTAAATGGGAACTTCTTATCAGAACAAACATTATTGAATCATTTAAATGATAATCAAGATGATGCTGAATTAGAAGCAACTAATTATTTATTATCTAATTTAGGTATTACCAAAGATGAAATACAAAATTCTTATAATTATGTAACACGTTCTGCTGTTACTGGTGCATATCGTATTATGTTACATAAAATTCATAGGTAAGTAAGAATAATTTTGATATTGTAATGAATTACAATTTAACCTAAATCATTGTATTAAATAATACAATATTGATTACTAATCTGTTTAACTTGATAGACTAAAGGGAGACTAGGTTCGAATCCCACGAGGCAGGATCATGAATGCGCATTACTGAAGAATTATACAATAGGAAGAAAACAAGTATCCATTACTTCCAGATTATCAATGGTGGTCTAACATTAACCGGTTGATTAACTCAATCAAAAAATTAGCTAGACATCAGTGCTACTGATGTCGATAGACACAAGTAATATATATCACCAATCGAAAGTGGGATGATTGTTTGTAGATGGTTGAGAAAAAAAAGGAGAAGAGAACGAAAACAGAGAATGATTGGTAATGGAAACAAAGGGACAACAAAGTCTGAGACAACTGGTGGATATCTTGCAAATGAAGTATTTTCTGTATGGTTCTCAGATTTTATTAAGAGATTTTGTTATGTTGTATTATGATACATTTGGTTAGAGTTTAGGACACGTGTTTCGTCCAATTCAAGCCTGGTCGGTTGGATGAACGTGCATCTAAATGTTGATATTCATCTCAGGACTCGGACATTACTGGGGTGAAAATTATCCTTTGGATTCAGGTACATACATTTGACGAGTACAGAACTGGAAAAGGTATATATACTGTTCTTATGTCCTGATAAGAATAGTGAATGGTAACTTTGTGATCCGTTTATGACAAATACGGATTTCGTGTGTCATTAGTCTGGTCGATAATTCACTGCTCTCTAGTTGGCGGTCTTACCACATTATACATTAACAGAGCATCCAGGCGGTCACAAGTTATAACAACTGTATTCGACTGTTAGCCACAATTCACTTATTTTACTGCTTTCCAGGGCTTCTAGATTTTCAATAGTGGTTTATCTTAAGTTGACTAATAAATTCAACTATTAGAATATTCAATATAACTTATAACAAAATGTTTATATTAAGGCAATCTGTACAGAATGCATATACACCAATCAAGCTACATAAAAATTTCAGTCAAACTATCAAGAATGGGATAAACTAAATTGTGTTTTCAATGATAAACAGTTCATTATTACCCCTCCACGAGGGGGAGCAGGCGTAAGTAAGTAAAGATTCAATCCATTGCATATTTACATAAACCAATAATCTTCAAAGTTCCTGAGAAGATTGTCAACATTATCCAGAACTTATACGATGGACTACAGTGCAAAGTGGTTCATAGAGGACAGTTGACAGATGCATTTACAGGAAGGACCGGAGTCAGACAAGGCTGTCTACTCTCCTCCGTCCTCTTTCTTCTACTGATTGACTGGATTATGTAGACTTCGACATCTGAAAGGAAATACGGAATACAATGGACTTCTCAGAATCAATTAGATGATTTGGACTTCACAGATGACCTAGCCCTCCTATCTCATACACACGAACAAATACAGATGAAGACAACTTATATAGCAGCAGCCTCTGCATCAATAGGCTTCAACATACACAAAGGAAAAAGCAAGATTCTCAATTACAACACGGAGAATACCAACTCAATTACACGTGTTGGCGAAAATCTAGAAGAGGTGGAAGCATCACGTACCTGGGAAGCATCATTGATAAACAAGGAGAATTAGATACACATGTAAAGGCTGGGATTGACAAAGCAAGGGCAGCATTTCTACAATTGAAGAACATATGAAACTCAAAACAACTGACAACTAATTTCAAAGTGAAAATCTTCAATACGAACGTCAAGACAGTTAGTCCCACTGTACGGAGCTGAAACGTGGAGAACTACTAAATCCATCGTCAAGAAGGTAGAAGTATTTATAAACAGTTGTTTATGCGAAATACTCAACATTCACTGACCGGATACTATCAGCAACAGCGTTTTATGGGAGAAGACAAACCAGCTTCCAACTGAAGAGGAAATTAGGAAAAGACGTTGAAAGTGGATAGGACATACATTAAGGAAATCACCAAACTGCATCATGAGGAAAGCCCTAACTTGGAATGGTGAAGGGACACGGAAAAGACGAAGACCAAAGAACATATTACGTCGGTAAATAGAAGCTGATATGAAAAATGGATGAATATTTGCTGGAAAGAACTAGTAAGGATTATCCATAACAGGATTGAATGGTGAATACTGGTGGGTGGTCTATACTCCTCCACGAGGAGTAACAGGCGTAAGTAAGTAGATAGGTAAGTGATAATCTTCATAACAACAGAACCGTCAAATCTTCTTACATTTTCTTTTTTTATACAGATCACGACGTCTTAGTCAATTGGATCAAATGACATTAACCCCTTACAATAATAATAATAATAATAATAATAATAATAATAATAATAATAATAATATGAAATTAATCAAATTCAATTCTAATTTATCATCTATTCAAAGTTCCATACATTTGGAACCAGAGAATAACAATAATCTAAATCCGAATTCATTCAAATCTCATACCATATCAATTCCATTAAAACAAAATCATTCCATTAAATTGAATACAAATAAAAAATTGAATAATGAACAATCATTCAATAATAATAATGGTAATAAATCAGCAAGTAGATTATGCTACTTAATTTAATCATTTAAGTAGTATCATAAATAGTGTCATAGTAATAAATAAATTTTTTTTTAAAAATGATAAATCATTACTTATTATTATAATCAATATTTTACAATCGATTTTTTTTTGCAACTATATCTATTTATTGATTTATTGATTTGCTGATATTTTTTTTATTTTTCTTTCCAAAAAAAAAGAAAAAAAAAAGAGAAACATTAAAATTTTTTTCCTTTTTTTTCTATATTTTTTTCTTAATTATTTTTGTCATTTCTTTTAATGAATATTGTATTATTATATATACATACTACTTATTATTATTGTATATGAATTCAATCATTACTGTAATTAAGTTTGGTAAGCAGAGATGTTTTGTGAGTGCTAAATGAAATTATTATTTTCATAAATGGATTTTTTTTATTTTTAATGTTGAACATTGTTATATCTGAAGCGTTTCGAATTGACTAGTTAGCAAATGAAACAAAGACTTATGATCAGAGATCAATAAGGTAGCTATTGTGACTTGTTCCAGATCCAAGTTAACTAGAGTAAGAAGTCCACAGTTGAAATAGGGGAAAATATCTTTCATCAACAGCCAGAAGCACAGGGGAAAAAATCAAACGTATATATATATATATAGCAATAAATTGTCCTTGGGCAGTATTACAAAAATAGCACACTCAAAGATAAAACGGACTAATAAAGTTTAAGATATTTTACAAGTGGGAAATTCAACTTGAAGGTGAAAAGAGAGCTTTTGGTGAGTAAACAAAGAAATTCAAATTTTCAAAATAAAAATTACAAAATTAAGCCATTTACTAAGTAAATTCTGGGGATTTGAAATAATCATGTAAATTATCAGAAGGGGGTTTTGTGGAGATTTTAGTGATTTTATATATAGTTGAGATTATGAGTCCATTGAAGCTAGATCATCATGGAAAACCTGGGAAGTACTGGATGTCCGTTTCGTTCTACTGTGGGACTTCTCAGAAGTGCGAATCCACCATTGATTAAGTGCTTTGATGCAAGACTGATAGGTCCTGGGTTCGAGTCTCGCGAGTGCAAGATCGTGGATTCGCACTGCCACTGAGGATTCCCATAATAGAACGAAACGGCCGTCCAGTGCTTCCAAGTTTTCCATGGTGGTCTAGCTTCAATTAACTCATGCTTTCAACAATAACGTAAATTGTCTGACTTTTAGTTGCAGCGTGAATAGTATTGTCAGTAGCAATTGTCATTTCATTTATTTGTGTGTAGGCTATGATACTACCCAGGTGCCTAAAATGAAGCAGATAGTTTTCTTAGGGGGCCATACCCGAAGCCTTTGACATGAAGGTTCAATTCATAGGGCAGTGGGATAACGTTAAGAGATACAGTCCCACGGTAGCCATTTGTTCCTTCAAGATACTGGAGCCCATGTACACCATTGGTTTGGAATCAGGGTTTTTCAACTCCCCCAGGTAGACTTTCCGTGTCCACCAACCCGGTTAATGCGCCGGATATTCGCTTTTCGTCCTCTTGATTTCGCAAACAATAGTAATGCCACGATAAGGCAGTAAGTAGGACTTCCCTGGCACTGGTTATATGAACGTGGCCGTGTGAGAGCTTTGGGAGCATTTGGGAGATATATATCTGGTGCCTGTTTGTACCAATATTTATGTGTTTAAATAAATTAATTAATTAATTAACTTACAAATCTTTCAGTACTTAACAGGACATAATCAGTAAGAAGAATGTAATTTGGATATGGACATCATGATTAGAATAATATGTTGCTGAGTATTAGTTAGTGTCACGTTTTGTTTAATTCTCGGTGAGTCGTTGAGTTTTAAAATACAATGTTGTTACTAGTTTTAACAGTTGAACATTGATTACATGATGTTTGTATGTTGAGTAATGGATGCCAAAAGCTAAGAGGTTTTATCCGATCTACTTTAAGTGCTATTGTTTGATTTTGATTAAATCTTATATGTACTCTTAATGAAACTAATACACCTTGTAAGGTTCAAACTCATGTTCTGATCTAAAAAATCGTTACTCAATTCTACAAGATGTTATTGGCAGCCAAAATAGCTCAGTGACACAGGTTTGATTTGGATATGGTATATGTTCCTCATATATAATGATGGAGTTTTGTTCTTTGAGCTGGATGGTTTGTTGGTAAAGCTATCGTCATTCTTCTGAACAAAATCATCAGCACAAACTTCATATAGAAGTGAAGAAAACTCCATCAAAATCATCAATCTGAGCTACAAATATTCCTCACCGTTTCAAAATCATAGGAGCGTAGTACGTTCCTCATATATTTCAGACATCCCTTAGTGAATAAATGTAAATTAGAGTGAAACATACGACAAGAGATTCTTGTTATTTTTAGCAAGGTTTTTTTCTATAGGATGAGGTTGCCGAGCACACACCTTACCCTTTTTCTTTATCTAGGCTTGGGACCGGCAGTAGCCCTAGAAGAGCTACAGACTCATCTTTAAATAACTAAAATAGACACCAAGTAAAGACGAGTCGATTTATTAGAAAATACATCGACCAATTAACGATCTTTGGGAAATTTTAAACGAATTCTAGAAAAACGACCAATTATATTTTCATCATCCTCATTGAACAAGACTCAGTCCTGGTCAGTCAGTCAGTTAGCTACAACGTAGGACCAGGCACATATATGCATCAGTCCAAATTGCCATGCATCGTTAGCACAACAAGATGAACACCGAATTCATAGAAATAGTTAATTTAGTGGTGGTAGTATATAAAAGATAGATTGTATATAAGGATATATTGCAGGAAGAAAGCAATTTTAATCTCAAGGTTTAAGGGAAGACAAAAAGTGTTTACACCTACGTCATTGTGATCGATTCTGAGCCATGTCACCCAGAGTCTCCAACCATTGATTACGATAGTCATGCAGACCCCAACCAGGTAGTCTGTATCTGCCAACAGGGCTCAGACTAGAAGTTAGTGACTTCAAGCACTGATGCCACGTTTTGGTTTGGCCGCCCCTAACTCTTTTCTAACCATTCCTTACACTAGTCATCATAGCGCGTCGTGGTAATCGGTGTTCAGGCATACGTAACACGTGGCCTAACCATCTTAGTCCTGGTAGTAATGTTTGACCTGTTTTATTCAGAAGCTTCTACAGTGTCAAATTAATATGTGTTCGTATAAACACCCTTAATTTCTGTATTTATTAACTACTTACATACTTCAAATGTTATGTTCATTTCTCGAAGTTCAAGAGTAGAAGATTTATGGGGACGATTAAGTAGTTAAAAGAATCTGCTGTTTAATCATTCAACTAAAAGACATATTAAACAAGTCTTTAGGTAATTTTAAGATCTTTGAGTTGGGTAGTTTATATGTGAGCTTATTATAGTTATTTATTACAACATTGTCAACACTTAATGTAGTCACAAAACATCAAATCCTTAATATATGTTGGATGTAGCCAATTGATAGAAGGTTATAGACTATGAACTCTTGCTCATTGATAGTCTCTTCAGCGAAATATATTTTCTGTTTGGAAGAAGCTGACAACCAGGTCATCAAGAAATTCAAATTCTTTTACTTTAATATCCTAAAATGAGACAATCCAAGGTGTAATAATGAGTAGTAATCATGTTCCTCACAGTGTAGTAACATACTTCTTATTGAGAGAACTAAATGAGAATTGTAGTTTGCATGTCAACCTAGGAGAGTGACAATAAATCTCAAGGAATTTCTCCTTGAGACGCATTATATACAACGTGTTTGTGAGATTTTAAAACCTAGGTTCCATACTTTTCATTCCTTAAAATTGGTAACGGAACTCTGTGGGATAAGATGAGATGAACTATATTTAAGGTGGACCTTTTAAAACTCCTCTTTTTGTTCTGATGACGCAGCATCGCTGATGGCTTGCTGAGGACAAATTAGCTTAATTCCAACGTATTCCTATCTCAGACACCATCGCAATGATTTGTCATATATATTACATACTTCAATTAAGTTATTTGATGAAGATACAAAAAATTATCGACGAATTTTTCATCTTCCCCAGGTACCTCACGAATAACGGTATTTTATATACGTATTCCTTGACTTTTTAAAAATCAACTTTATAAGCAAACTTACCTTTATGTGCTGAATTTGTTCAGGATTTAAGGGAACTAGAAGCCACTTGAAAATCAGCACTGCAAGGGACCAATTTTCATCTACAATGATTAATAAACTAATTTTCATCGTAAAGTGTTTAGGAAAGTTGTTAGGCTTCATATTTTACATCATGAGCTGATATTAATTAGAAAACGACTGAACACAAAGAAGCAACGAATAATTAATTTAACCATGTATGCGACTTCTCAATGATGCACATCTTCGAACCCATCAGCGCTAGAACGCATGACTTCGAGCTTTTGAAATAAGTGCTTAACTTTTAAACAAATCAGTTACCATCGATTATTTCGTGGCGTTGAGCAACCATCTTCATCTGCTTATGTTACCTAATTATCTCACACCCAACATGGTTGAACTCCTCTGACCACGACTTCTCATTAGAAAACCCAGAAGTGGCAACCTGATATCAAGAATTGATTGAACACCGTTGACTGCTAGGTCAGTGATCTAAAGGTTAAATGTTTGCGTGCAAGAGACATCCCAAGTCCCAGTGCCAGTTGCGTAGTGATAGATAATCACTGATGTATAATTCCATATTAAGGACGAAATAGTTATTCAGTACTTTCAGGTTTCCAATCTAGGTTTTTTTGGTTTTTGCTTAAAACTACTGTTGAAAACCTGAAATTACTGGATGACCGTTTCGTCCCAATACAATACTCTTCATCAGTGCTCATCCACCAAACGAACTCGAACCCTATATTTTCGATCTCACCCGCACCCCCCCCAGAAAAAAAGATAACTTCGATATAAATCAATTCAATAATTATTTATATGTTAAATATAAAAATATTTTCATACCCCGATTGAATACAGGTTTACTAATTAATATACAACCACATAAATTTGATTGAATCTTTTCTATAATTTCACATATTAATTGAATATCTATTAATTGATTTGGATAAAATTGTATTATACATTGACCTATTGATTGATTTAATAAACGTATAATTTCATACATTAATTGATTAATATAATGATTGGATATTGATTTCTGATTATGATCATGATTATTGATTAATAACCATTGTATAAATGATATAGATATAATATATTGTATAGAATAATCTGGTAATGGAATTAATAATTGTGATTCATTAGTATTTACATGCTTCATTAAATTACATTTGATTAAATGAATATTATAATTGAATATACTACTATTATTATTACTATTATCAGTAGGATTACTATTACTGTTATTATTATTAATATTGCTATTATTGTTATTATTATTAATACTATTATTATTAATATTATTATTATTATTACTGTAATTATTATGATTACCATTATTAGTATTATTATTAATGTTATTATTATTACTGTTATGAATATTATTAATATTATAATTATTATTAATTTTATTATTCCTATTATTATTGTAATTATTGGTAACATTATTATTACTGTTATTAATATTATTGATTATATTATTATTATTACTATTATTAGTATTAATATTACTCTTATTATTACTGCTATTATTATCATTATTATTTATATTACTATTATTATTACCATTATTACTAATATTATTGCTATTATTATTGTCATTATTATCATTGCTATTAATAGTATTATTATTATTATTATTGAATAAATCGATGCAGATTGGAATAAAGTTTTGATTAAAATTAGATATATTTAATAAATAATGATTTATGATATCCATTTGATTAATACCACAACCAAGATCTAATAATAATGGTATAGAATTATTAGAATTATTAGTAGTAGTATAAGTAGTAGTATTATTAGTTGTAGATAAACCAAGTAAATGATTTAATACATAATTATATAATGAAATTTGTATAAATTGACGTGATTGATGTTTATTCAATATGGATTGATAGAATGAATCATTATTGTTTACATCTTTTTTGCTATTTTTATTTTTACTACTCAAATGATAATCAGTAGTATGTATAGATAATGATAAAAATTGTTGATATAATAATTCAGCACGACGTATTGAATGAATTGTAGGTAATTTATTAATAATTTTATCCTTATGATGATGATGATAACATGGTAAATTAGAGATATGACAATAATTAATAATAAATTGTTCGTCAAATACCTTAGGTAAACATAATGGGATAGATTCAGTTAATGGATAAATATATATAGTTGATGATAAATAATAATATTGATGATAATAAATAGGATAATATGTAATCATCCATAATCTTCTTAAATCATTCATATTGCATAATAGGCTTCTATAAAGGAGATAACAACAAATGAACACAAATCACGAATGGTAATCAACAAGAAATGACTAGTTTTTGATGGAGATTTGTTCTCTGAGCTAGATGCTTTGGTCGTGCAGCTTTCATTGTCCTTCTGAACGACATCATCAACACAAAATTCGCGTAGAAGTGAAGTATTTGAATTACTCCATATATGATTCACAGCTTGTCCTGTATACCTCGATGTTGATTGGTTCTTGTTGACTGTAAATCTGTCATTGTTTATTTCTTTGTTTTGGTTGTATCTTCTATTGGTTTGAGGTGGGCAAGACAAGCTCTGAATCATATGTGGAGAAATTCAAACACTTCATTACTACACGAAGCTTGTGCTGATGATGTCGTTCAGAAGGACGATGAATGCTACAAGACCAAACCATTCAGCTCAGAGAACAAAACTCCATCAAAATCATCTTTCTGAGCTACAAATCTTCTTCACCATCTCGAAATGACTACTTTAAAAATACAAATAGTAATTCAATTTAGCTGTTTAACTCTCATCTGTTTTCTGGATTAAACTCAGTTGTGTACACCGGTTGTCACTGGTGTGAAATTATGAGTGACAGAACTTACTGTTTATATAGTGACGGCTAGTAAAACCATTATATCAGAATAAGTAGTTTCTGATGTCTCTTATCAATACTACTACAGTTACTAATGCTTACTTCCACTATTCAATCTTTGTAAGAATCCAATTATAGTCCATGAAACTTTTATTTAATTTTATTTATTTAAACACATAAATATTGATACAAAGGAGACCAGATATATATGCTCCAAACAAATCTCATTTGATTTGTGTGAGGGCTGTGATACTGCCCGAGTGCCCAAACTGAAACAGGTGGTTTATTTAGGGGGCCACACCCGGAGCCTTAGACCGAAAGATCTGATCCACAAGGCAGTGAAGTATCGTAAAGAGATGTAGTCTCATGGTAGCCGGTCACCAATGATTGATTCATACACAATTTGTTCCCTCACGATACTGGAGCTCATGTGCACCATTGGTTTGGAATGAGGGTTTTACAACTCCCCTAGGTGGACTCACTGCTTCCACCAACCCGGTTACAGCACCGAACATTTCCTTTTCGTCCTCTCAATTTCATCAATAACAGTAATGCCACGAGAAGGCAGTGAGTAGAGGTCCAATGCAGAGGCTATATAGGCAAGGCCATGTGAGAGCATTTCGAGAGGGAAAGCGTACTCTCCACATTCTCGGCCGTACCATGGCTTTTTGGGCAACATAATGCAGTGTGATACTCAAACACATTTCAAATGTAAATAATTATTCAATGCATAGTTATGTTTTACACCATGAACAGACTTTAGTTAGATAATCTTTGTAAACAAGAAAGCAATGAACGAGACTGCTTAACAGTGTGTATCTACCACCCTACTATCAGGGACCGAACCCAGGACCTTTATACATTATACTAATCTCTCAAACTTTAAACCATTAAGTTGTTTAAGTTCAGTCAATTTGTAATAAGGTGTGCCTATTATCTGGAGCCATAACCTTAACATTTGACAGTTTTTCAATTGATAACTAGTGAAACAGTGAATAGGCATTACAACAAAATTCTAAAATCTAACAAAAACATTGTCTAATATTTCCTGATTTCCAGTGGTTGTATCTAACTAGAATCAGTCCGTAATGAAATATATCACTCAATTAGTATTTTCATAGTTGAAAGAGTGAGTTAATTGAAGCTAGACCACCATGGAAAACCTGGAAGCACTAGACAGCCGTTTCGTTCTACTGTGGCACTCCTCAGCAGTGCGCATTCATGACCCCGCCTCACGAGGTTCGAACTCAGAACCTACCAGTCTCGCGCAAGTACACTTAACCGATAGACCACTGAGCCGGCATCTTTGAATGAATCTTCCCATGGATGTTTAGGACTGCAACTGGTCAGTCTCTAATTGGCATATGAGCATACTGTGTGTATTGCCTCGATATTGCCTTAATTCACAAGCATTATAAACAAAGATGGATAACGCGATGGTGTTTGAAGCAAACGGTACTGGGTTCGAGTCCCAGAGTGAACATCAACTTTGGGATCCAGGTACAACTAGCTGACGACTCTCAAACAGGACGAAACGCACATTCTGGATTCCACTGCTAGCCACTATCCATCTTTGCTTACAAAGATATCATTATTTACTAAAACAAATTAACTCATTTCACTTACAATAAAAATAAGTAACCTATTGATATTTACGTCGATCAGTTTAATGTTAAAACACCAACCTTCCGTTCTAAAGTGCACGCACACAAACATACACATATATGTACATAAAGAGCAAAGTACTAATCTCAAAAAACAATACGAAACAAATAATTATCAATGACCTATATTACTGAAATAAATAGTCAGTCAGCTACAATGTAGGACCAGGCATATATATGCGTCGGGCCAAGTTGTCACACCTCATTAGCACAACAAGATCAACACCGAATTCATAGAAGTAGTTAATTTAATGGTAGTACTATATTAAAAAAAACAGACTATATATAAAGATTATCACTTAGATGGTAAAGAAATGCCAGTAACCACACACACACACACACACACACACACCATTAACCAATAGCAGGGAGGAAAGATAAAGGTATATAAAAAACCAACACCATTGATAATTGACTAAGATGAATGTAATTATTAGTCAATATATCAAGTACACGTATTACATATTAGATTACTAACTGTTATCAGTGCTTCCAAGTTTTCAATGGTGGTCTAGGATTCTCATCGATTCATGATCTCAATCCAATACCAACTATTAATTTATTTATTTTGCATAATTTCATCTATCATTTGACCCATATTTTAATAAATTTTATTTTAGAAAAAAATAAAAATAGTTGAATTCATGAGTCGATTTAAACTAGACTACTATTGAAAACCTGGACGTCCATTTCGTCCTAGTATAAAATTCCTCAGCAGTGCGCACCCATGATCGCACACGCAGGACACGAATCAAGGATTTTCGACCTTACACACAAAAGCTTAACCTCTCGACTCATGAATTCAACCATTAAATTACTACAATCTCCATAAATCCCTATTCTGATAATAATCATTATATGCCCACTAGTATCTAGCTTTAAGACGTATTTCCTGAAGTTCTAGTGAGAATCCATGACCAGTGGAGTTAAAATTTGTCAGGCATGAGGCAGTCACCTAGCAAAGACAATCGAAGGTGGTCGCATAATATCGTGGATGAGGAGTTTTACACTAGGACGAAACGGACGTCAAGTGCTTCCAGGTTTTCGATGGTAGTCTAGCTTAAATAGACTAATGAATTCAACAAATTTCTTATGAATACAAAGACTCAAATTGTTAGCTCGAATTCTTATAGCTTCTACTATGCGTAAAAGAAGAAATCGAACTTAATAAGGGAAACTGGTAAGAATACGACAAATCATTTTAAATGACGTATTTCTACCTACTAATAACTGTTATGGATTTAGTGTAATAGAACAGAGTTGCATATTGTTTTGACGATACCCTTTCCTAACTACGAATAGAGGTGTTCACTAACTTATTGGCTCAGTCGTCTGTTTAAGCGTTCAACACAGTTTTCTCCATAAGATAAGCTGAATTCGTAGATACACATAGATGTGAAAGAACCAGGTAACTTATTCTTTAGTTGAGGAATTATCATAGATCGGGTTGGGAACGATAGACAGAAGTTAATAGCCCTAAAGGTTCTCTTCATTGCTCTGGTCAATCTATCCCGTAGCACATCATCAGCAGTATCTCTGTCAAATTACAGATTCAGGAAGAGAGGTTTCCTACTAGCCGTTGATGTCGCTATTTTCCTGTTTATTAAATCAAAGTGTTTCTTAGAAAAACGTCGTAGGTAACCCATTTCAATTAATATATGAATCAGCTCTAATTTCTTATTTATAGTGTCGTTTAGGCATATCTTCCCAGCTTTATTCGTAAGGCATCTAACAAAATTTCTCTTATAATGAATGGGCACAAAGCTCAAGGAATGTATGTGCTGGCTTTCTGAAGAACTTTTCCTATACAAATTTCTCTTCTCAATATGTAAATTTGATCTCTGAATGCTTATTGATGAATAGCTCCAAGAGTTCTTCGTTTCCAATTTTCTGATCATCATCAATGTAACGACAATAAAAGTCAAGCTTAACAATAACCTGTTTAAGAGGCCCGTCTTCTAGTTTCGTGAGAGAAAAAATAGGCAAGGATAAGACGCAAAGGTGAACCCATCGCTAATTCATGGTAATTATCTAATACAATCGATGAGCAACTACACAACAAATCGCTTAAACCTATTGGTCATAGATTATCATCTAAACTTCCAAAATTTATTATTATTATTCAAACACATAAATATTGGTACAAGAAAGCACCAGATACATATGCGCAGCACAAATCTCATTTGATTTATGTGAGGTCTGTGATACTGTCCAAATTGAAGCAAGTGGCTTTCTTAGGAGAACACACACGGAGCCTTTGACCTAAAGGTCTGACCCACAAGACAGTGGGGCATCGTAAGGAGATGCAGTCCCATGGTAGCCGGTGACCAACGATTGATTAGTATGCCATTTGTTCACTCAGAATACTGGAGCCCATTTGCACTATTGGTTTGGAATCAGAGTTTTCCAACTCCCCCAGATGAACTCTCCGTGTCCACCAACCCGGTCAAAGCGCCAAACATTTGCTTTTGGTCCTCTCAATTTCGTAAACGACACCGGTGCCACAAGAAGGCAGTGAGTAGGACCTCCCTGGCAGAGGCTGTATAAGCGTGGCCATGTGAGAGCATTTGGAGAGGGAGAGCGGACTCTCCCCACTCTCGGTCGTACCAGGGCATTTGGGGGGCCCTTGATCAGTTCATGATCTCAATCAAAAAAAGAAGGATTGTCTAGAAGAAAATACTTTGCAACTTTCAAATCATTAAGTTCAATGTACTCGTATCAGTTCGATCAATTAATAGTCATATTATCATTAAATATACATCTATTCAACTCTATTTTAAAACGATGACGACGTTGAAATGCAAAAGTAAGTTATTACATCTTTATCAGAAGGGGGTTTTGTGGAGATTTTAGTAAAAAAAATTTATATAGTTGAGATCTCGAATCAATTGAAGTTAGACCACCATGGAAAACCTCGAAGTACTGGACGACCGTTTTGTCCTATTATTGGACTTCTCAGCAGTGTGCGTCCACGATACCGCCACACGAGATTCGAACTCAGGATCTACCAGTTTCGCGTCAGATCATATAACCAATAGACCAGTTCTTTCAGGTTTTCCATAATGATCTAGCTTCAATTGACTCATGATTTCAACTATGAAAATACTGAAATCTTCACAAAACCCCTTCTGATTAAACTTATAAACTTGAAAGCACTGAACAGTCGTTTCGTCCTACATCTTTCTTAAAATAAACAAAAATCAATCAACAAACATACTCAGTAAAAATTACATCATCATTCTATGTTGAAATAGAAACAAAACAAAACAAAACACAAAATTATGTAAACCAATTACCATAGATATATATTGAAATGATAACATAATTACAATTAGAAATCATTGGAACTAATGATTGTCACTTTTGATTCATCGTTTCACCACCCCACCCCCTCATTTCTCATACTGTCCAAATGAATTCAGATAAAATCAGATTAAATTATTAATAATCTTAAACTAAATAAATTTATGATTGAAAAAGTCAAAGAGTCAAAGAAAATTAAGCATAGTTTTTAGGGAACAAATGAGTATGGGTGAGTGAGGTGATTGATTGATTGATTGATTGATTGATTGATTGATTGATTGATTGATTGATTGATTGATTGATTGAGTGAGTGAGTGAGTGAGTGAGAAGAATTAACACATAAAAAAGAATATCATAGGACTCTATTTATTATCCATACACAATGGAACAGAAGGAGACAGAATGAGCAAGAGTTGGCAAAGAAACGATTCCTGTTAAAATTCAACAGTATTCTATTGAATTAAATTAACCAATGAGCATATGTGGATAATGGTTTTTGTTTTAACAATGTAGACTTTTTAGATGATAAAAATATTTTCTCATTGAATTCTTTAGATTTACAATCATTGATATCAATTGATGGTGATAGAAGAATAGGACGATTAGATAATGTGTCTGGTTCATCTAGTTCACCTACTCCACCACGTCCCTTTCCATCAATTTCCATATCGATATCAGAAAAGTTTGTTTGAGGCGCTGATGATGATGTTAAACAACTACAACAATATACAAAGGAAAAAACAAACAAACAAATAGAGGTTCAATAAACAGAAATAAAATATGTGTGTCCATGAGTCGAGTAAAACATTAAAACATCATCATAGAGATAAGCACTAGTGACGAGCATATGAATCAGTAACACGGACATATCAGTCAGTTACTATCAACTATACAAAATCGTGTGCAAATCTGTATAAGCACGAGTTGTCATATTACACTCAAACGAGCCCCCAAATGCCCTGGTATGGCTGAGAGAGGGGAGAGTCAGCTCTCGCCCCCTCTCTAAATGCTCTCACACTTTTCTTCTATTGTGGGACTTCCCAACAACCTGCAATCACAATACAGCCACCGGTTTATATCAAGACTTTCAAGTATCCCCGATGACAACGAATGTCGGGTTATATCATGAATTGATTTAAGTTGGAACTGAATCACTGAAACCCAACTCTGTGATTTAAAAGTCAGAACCAGTTCACATTAATAAGGGCAACCATAATTAATTAAAGGTGAGCATTGAAAAGAAAATAACATTTTTAATACTGCGAAATATGTTCCATTTACCTTTTGCCCTAACGAGATTTTAGTGAGAAGCTATGAGAAGCCAAGTTCAACCACGTTGAGTGTAAGCGAGGTGCCTATCGAAGACAACGGAAGACTGTCACACAATATCGTGAACTGACTAAGGTTAGGAAATGTACACTATCGGATTACAGATCAATGGTCTAAAGGTTAAGCGTTTACGTCCGAGAACAAAGGTCCTAGGTTTGATTCCCAGACGCGGGCCACGGATGCGCATCACCAAGGAGTCTTATACTAGGACGAAAACAACCGTCAATTGCTTCAAAATTTTCAATGGTTGTCTAGCTTAGATCAATTCGTGATTCCAGCAATCTCCACGATGCTATACTGACAATAAATTAAGAGTAAATACAGAAGAAAACAGTAGAAAAGAAAAAGAGAACATACAACACTTACTTTTGAGTTACTGGATGAACAGAATCCAATTGTTGCCTTCGATCAGAATAACAACCAACATTGCTATCATACTGTTCTAGCTTATCATTAACAATCCATTGCTTTAAATCACTGTTTGCAATACGATTTAATTCACTTACAATTGAGTTATTATTATTATTACATGAATTCATCTCAGTAATGTTTAGTGCATTTGATGAATTACCAATTACCGAAGTTTCATTAGTGTTTGATTGTATTGATGCATCAATTGAGTTCCTTTTTTTCATTGATAAAGAACATCCACCACAACATGTCGGTCCACCAGGACCACCTTGACATATTCCAAATTTTGGACAGTATTCTACTAGAGTATCGCTACTTTTAATAATTTTAATTGCATTCATTTTAGTGACTTCATTTGTCTGAAAGATGTAACATGTATTATTAGTGAAATACAGAATAATAATAAGCAATTTGTGAGTACTATGATGGATATTCAATGTAAGTTTATATAATCATTAGGTAGGTTTACACTTACTTACTTACTTACTTACGCCTGTTACTCCCAATGGAGCATAGGCCGCCGACCAGCTTTCTCCAACCCACTCTGTCCTGGGCTTCCTTTTCTAGTTCTATCCAGTTCTTGTTCATTCTCCTCATGTCTGTCTCTATTTCTCGGCGTAATGTGTTCTTTGGTCTTCCTCTTCTCAGTTGACCTTCAGGATTCCATGTGAAAGCTTGTCTTGTGATGCAATTAGCTGATTTCCTCAAGGTGTGCCCAATCCACTTCCAGCGCTTTCTCCTGATTTCTTCCTCCGCTGGAATCTAGTTTGTTGTCTCCTACAGTAACTTATTGCTGATAGTGTCTGGCCATCGGATCCGAAGTATTTTGCGTAGACAGCTGTTGATGAACACTTGTATCTTCTGGATAATGGCTTTCGTATTTCTCCACGTCTCCGCCCCATACAGTACAGGTAGGTTTACAACTAGACCTATTATATATATATATATATATATATATATATATATATATATATATATATATATAGCGAGAGAGAAATCGGTCTATGAGATTGTGGTTCTACATAAACTGAAGTGGTCGATGGACAAATATATTACGTATAGCTAACCGCCGCCTACCTTGAACCTGTAGTGTTAGCTGTCATAAGAATAGATTGGAGGAAAATTATAAGAGATCGAACCAATACATAGGATCAACATATGAAGTTGCTTACTGTTGGTCTGGGCCTTGATAGTTGTTACAATTAATTGATTACCGAACAGGGATTAATGATATTTTTGTTAAGTCACTAATAGTTGTTATAGACTACCTTATTGGGGTCCGCGCGATAAACGTGATCAGCGGTTGGAGAGGTAGTGATATTACTCCAAATCGGTTACAGTACATATGCATGCATTCATTATTTATTTTCGCTTAAGCATTTAGTTTCGATATTTTGTACATTTTATTCCTCAAATTCATCTCTTCTTTTCTAAATACTCTTCACTATCATTAGTACAGCTGCTATTTCGATACTATTCCCATTTATCGTGTTAACCTCATTATGTCGTATTGATGTGGAGTGGTAATTTGTACTGATGTACAAATTCTAAGTTGCTTACAACTGGTTCTATTACATCAGATCAGCATTGAAGATCAGTGAAAAACACAACATCAGTTAATTATCAGAAGGGGTTTTTTGTGGAGATAAGTATTTTCATAGTTGAAAGCGTGAGTCAATTGAAGCTAGACCACCATGGGAAACCTGGAAGCAGTGACCAGTGGAGTTCAAACCACGTCTGTCGTGAAATATCACCTCACTGAAGACAATTGGTGAATGGTTGCTCAACTTCGTGGATCAGTTGACGTTAGAAATTAACACCGTTGGATGCCGGCTGGCTCAGTGGCCTATCGATTAAGTGCTTCGGCGCGAGACTGGTAGGTCCTGAGGTCGAATCTCGCGAGTGCGGGATCGTGAATGCGCACTGCCGAGGAGTCCCATAATAAAACGAAACAGCCGTCCAGTACTTCCAGGTTTTCCATGGTAGTCTAGCTTCAATTGACTCACGCTTACAACATTAGTTACTTACTTACTAAATAACCAAACTAGTGTACTTTAGGCTCGTACTCACAATTAGTAGGATTGAATCAAATGAAATTATTATTGAGAATAATCTTAAGAATTACACGTATATTAAGTTCAATTAGGTAGAATAACATTTATTAATTATGAAAAAGTAGTATATTTGTAGGTTATATTCATCACAGATTGATTTCAGTTGGGATACCATTGAAAAATAGGGAGCACTGAACAGCTTTTTCATCTTAACACAGGACTCCACGATAGTGCATATCCACGACCCACCCAGGTATCAAACCCAGGACATCTAGACCTTGCAGCAAACGTTTAACTATTGGAACAACTAGGTCGGCGTCTGATACCATTAGAAACAACTGATTCACTCCCAATATTTCTGAACAGCATAAACTATGACTCCTAGTGTTTTCAGATTCTTAATGGCACTCCAACTGAATTCAATCTGAATCGAGTATAACCCATAAAACTTAAAGTAGTATGCCTGATAACCATTGATTTAATACATAACAACTAAGAGATAATTCAACAACTAACTTGTGATGTAGTACTATTCATCTCTTCATTAATAGATTGATTTTGTTCCGTTGACAAGTTGCTACTGTTATTATCCGTCGATTGTGGTGGTGGGGGTGGTGATGATGACGACGACGACAGTGATTGTCTTAACCAACGTGATAAATCAATTGGTCCAGAATGAAAAATGTGTTCAGGAAATAATGAATTCTTTGTTAAATCATTGATTTTTGACGAATCTATGCAGAGTGTAGACATATTTTTATTGATTGATAAAGTTGTATTCTCTGGTATTAGCCAAGAAGATTTCACTAGACGTGTACTGTATTCACTGGTACTACTACCAACACTGTAACCAACATGACCATCATTATGATTAAGTTTTGTTGATAAACCGGGCATATCTCTTAATTCAGCCTAAATTTTGCAATAAAAGAAATAATTCTAGGTTATTATTTAATTATCAGAAAGGGTTTTTTGTGGAGATTTAGTATTTTCATAGTTGAAAGCATGAGTCATTTGAAGCTAGACCACCAGGGAAAACCTGGAAGTACTGGACGGCCGTTTCGTCTTATTATGGGACTCCTCAGCAGTGCGCACCCACGATCTCGCCTCCCGAGCAAGATTCGAACTGAGGACCTACCAGTCTCGCGCCGGAGCACTTATTCGATAGACTACTGAGCCGGCTGGCATCCAACGGTATTAATGTCTAACCTCAACCAATCCACGAAGTCTGAGCAACCGTTCACCAATTTTCTTCAGTAAGTTAATATCTCTACAACAGACTTGGTAGAACTCCACTGGTCTAGCTTCAATTGATTCATGATTTCAACTATGAAAATACTAAATTCTCCACAAAACCCCTTCTGATATACAAAGAATAACAAAAAAAGGAGGGAACGATAACCGCTAAGGACAAATAAAAGAATAAAACATGCACCCATACATACAAACAAACAAGATAGATAGATAAAAACACAAACTTACCGGATCACAGAATAACCAATCTTTTAAACTGGACATATTTCGAGATGAATTTGTCAATATATCAAAGCTGTCCGAAGTAGATTTATCTAAATAACAATAAATAGTATGTAAATACTTAAGCACAGTGAAAGTGATTAAGTAGTTGGGTTAATTAAAGAAAACTCTAGAAATTTCCGGTCGGAATAATTAAAACTAATTAACTATTGAATACTAACTAATATCATTTTCTAGTAGAAAAGGTTTTGTAGAGATTGGTTTAATGTGTAAGCTGTATTCACCACATAGTGACCTCAGCTGGAGAACCATCGAAAATTAGAGATCATTAGATAGTTGCTCCGACCTAGTACGAAACTCTTCACCTCACTAGTGACTTCGAAGTGCTCCCCAAGATCTAATGAGAATTCGTGACTGGTAGAGTTCAGACATGTCGAGAGTGAAACAATCGTCATTAGTAGTACTGAATGATCGTCGGACTGTATTGCAAATTGGCTAAAGTTGAAACTGTACCACCGGACGCTGACCCAGTTGTTCCAATGGTTAAAAATTTGCTGCTAAACCAAAAATTTACGGGTTCAATTTCAGGCAGGACTGTAGGAGCACATTGCTCAAATTTCCTATATCAGGATGAAACAGCCATCCAGTGCTTCATGATTTCTAATGTTATTTCAATTGAGACCAATCTGTGACGAACATAACGTATAATATCATAAATATGTAGCGCTAGATAATTCCCACATATTCAATATCTTGAAACGCACTTTAATGTTAATTGAGTTGTGGTTGAGTGCTGTTAGAGGTATGAGGGTAGTTATCACTTCCCGGTTGCCCACACCGTGGAAGGGTTCTTCTAGAGTTACCTGAAAAGGAAATTGGGTTAAAAGTGGTCTTAATGACCGCAGTGCCCAAGGGACAACTGCTTGAGGTCGGTCATAGAGTTGTGGTTACTACTGTTATGAGAATAAACTTCTAACAACTGCATCGTTTAATGTAAGATTTAAAAAAATCTAAACACATTGATGAATCCATATTTAATCAATCAGTTATGATAGACAAGCCAAGAAGATACCAGAAGTATCTATTTTAAATCCTGTATAGACTCTTTTGTTCCAACTCTCTTGTATCCTGACTTACATTAAGTAGAGTTAAGTGTAATGTAGTGAAAATAATATTAGACAAATAAGAACTTAAAATTTGCAAATAAACTTTATTGATAATGCAACTAACAAACAATCATCTAATATCAATCGAAATTGACTTTAAAATCAAGGTTCATTGTTTTTTACTGCTTTGTTTCAGAGATGATGATGATGACGACGATATTAGGGTCTGACAATCTTGAATATTAACATTCTAAGCAGTAAATCGAAGATCCCTTTCTAGTTGTCCTCCGTCGTAGGTTCTCCTTTCAGTAGATCCTGTAAAGCTTGGAACCTGTTGTTGAGAGTTATCTTGAATTCGTTGAGCTTGTCAGTATCTCGAAGGAAGGCTGTATTGAACCCTTGTAATGCTGTTCGTCCAGTTATCTAGTGTTTCTTCAGCTTCAGTTTCATCTTGACAACAACCAGTTAGTGGTGACCTGAAGTTATGTCGGCTCCTCTCCTGGTTCTCACATCTTCCATTGTCCTTCTGATTTTTTTGTTGATACAAATATGATCTATCTGATTCTCTGTGGTGTGGTCTGGTGAGATCCATGTAGCTTTGTGTATGCGTTTGTGTGAAAATATTGTGCCACCTATAACTAATTTGTTGAATGCACATAGATTTGCAAATCTCTGCCCATTTTCATTTCTCTCTCCTAATCCATGTCGTCCAATTATATCTTTATATCCTGTGTTATCCAATTTGACTTTAGCATTTAGATCTCTCATCAGAATGGTGAGGTCCTTTCTTGAGCACTTACCTATGATTGATTGCAGCCTCGAGAACTGATCTTTATCATCGTCGTTGCAATCATTTGTGGGTGCATAACATTGGATAACATTCATTGTGATCCCCTTCTTTGTTTTGAATGATGATTTGATTATCCTGGGTCCATGAGATTCCCATCCTACAAGTGCATTTCGTGCTTCTTTGAACGGTATTAGAGCAACTCCCTGAATGTGTAGAGCATTTTCCCCTTCGTGACCGCAGTAAAGCATCTCTCTCGTACCTAGCCTACGTTGTCCAGCTTGTGTCTAATGGGTTTTGCCGATTCTGAGTACTGCCAAGTTGTATATTCTTATTTCCATTGCTGTTTGACTGGTCTTCCCGGTCTCCCACATTGTTCGGACGTTCCATGTACCTATAAAGAGTGTTGCTCGGGTTGTTAAAAGGGGCATCGACCTCATGACTTCCGAAAAATCTCGGCTTTGATCATGAGACGTCATAATTATTCCTTCTACTCCCAGGGCAGAGTTTAAATGGTTTGAATTATTTTTTCTGGTTAGCGTTTTTTTAGCGAATTAGTTTTCTACGGGATGGGGTCGCTAACCCCATGCCCAACCCTCCTCCTTTACCCGGGCTTGGGACCGGCAGTAACTCTAGGAGAGCTACAGGCGGAGTTTAGTGATGAGATTAGATTGCCCAAATAGAAGTAGATAGAATATGGTTTTGACTTTGAAAAAACATGTTAATTGGAAACCGATTCCCTTGGCTACTATAAGGCACCTCTCCATTATGAACACTTCTTATTGCTTATCACTATCAAAACATTACGACAGGTATTATTTACTCAATAATATTGCTTGATACACAATCGGAGGTAAGATGAAATCCTGAATACCCCAGATTGAGTAGCTCGTTGGTAAATGCATTATAGACGTAAGGTGATTGGAGCAATAGCTACATTACAATTTGATTGATACGATAACATCGGTCAATACTTATTCAGTGACACACTGAAGAACATTATATCGAATACTAAAACAAAATAGGTCTTAAAACCTAATAGATGAATTTGGAAAAATCATAATAAACAATTGACGAACTTTTCTTTTAATCAACATACTCGAGTAATTAGAGGGCTTTAAGGTATTATTCAATCCGTATAATTCTCCTTTATGATAAGATGTAGGTTCAACTGTCGGCGGTTGACTATCTCGTAATTCAAGCCAAGTACGAACTAGTGTAGAATCCGGTCGACAACACGGTACACGTGAAATATTGAATTCGAAATTATCTTGTAATGATTCTTTTTCCTACAATAAAAATTGATATGTTGTCACCTTTTAAAGTGTTAACCAAGGTTAAAATTGTAAAAACACGTTCCAACGAGTAATCAGTTTCATGTATGACCAACTCTACAATGAAGTATCACTTATGAAACTTAGCAAGTTCACATCTGAGTAGCAAGTTGAGAGCTTCACTTATTATGTTTCATGGAGACTACCTGGTTGTGGTCGGTGCCACTATCTCAACCGATAGTTGGGGAATTTGGGTGTTACTGTTTAGAACTGGTGACAATGATGTAAATTCAATTCACTGTCTTCAGATCTTGATTTTAAACATTACTTTCTACCTTTTGATTCCACGAATTCATTTTTCTTGAATCATATCATCCGCCTGCAGCCCTTCTAGCCCCCAAATGCTCTGGTACGGCCGAGAATGGTGATGGACCGCCCTCCCTCTCGAAATGCCCTTACACGGCCACGCGTATACAGCCTTTACCACGGAAGTCCTACTCACTGCCTTCTCGTGGTAGGGGTGTTATTTACAAAAGTAAGTGGACGAAAAGCGAATGTCCGGCGCTTTAACCGGGTCGGTGGACACGATGAGTCCATCTAGGGGAGTTGGTGCACATGGGCTCCAGTATCCTGAGGGAACAAACGGTGCATGAACCTATTGTTAGTCATCTGCTACCTTGGGACTGTATCTACTCACGTTGCTCCACTGCCTTGTAGATCAAACCTTTAGGTAGAAGGCTCCGTGTGTGGCCCCCTAAGAAAACCACCTGCTTCGGTTTGAGCACCTAGGCAGTATCACAGCCCACACACAAATCAAGTGACTTGTGTGGCGCATATGTATTCGGTGCCCTTTATTTACCAATAATTAAATAAGTCCTTCTAGATTCACTATGGGTTCCAAGCTAGGATAAAGGAGGATGGTTGGGCACAGGGTTGACAACCCCACCCCGTAGAAAACAACCTTAATAAAAAAATGCAACCAGATAAACTATTTAAACGATCCCTAATCTTTTATATTACCGCTGATGATGTTACTAATTTTATCACTAAGATTTATGCTGATAATTTTATCTCAATGTGCTGATCTAGTATGGAATCTTGAATTGATGCATAATATGTGAGAGGTCTTTATGTTGTTGTTTATAACTCACTTAGACCTTGAATGACATGGCTCAAAATCGTTTACAATGGAGTAGGTGCATCCACTCTTTGTGTTCTCCCAATTTCTAATCTTCTGAATTCTTCATGTTCCTATCCTTTTTCTCTTTCCAAATTTATTTCACTGGATTATACTCCTTTAATAACATCTTCAAACCCTAATCTTTCACATTACTGCTTATACTCTAACTACTTTGACCACTATGGGATTTGAATCGACAACTTTATCTCTGTGCTAATGTGGTATGGCAACTCGAACTGATGTACGTAAGTACGTACGTACGAAGTTCTACGTTGTGACTGACTGACTTATAACTCACTGAAATCAAGAATGAAAGAAAACTTTAAAAATGTTACAAAACACACTTACAGATAATTTACTAAACCAAAAATAATCATTTTTTAATGCAAAACTCGCTTTATCCTCTTCCTCTTTCATTGTACCCATATTACTTAAAGAATCAGATGAATTTCTTCGTTTACATTTATGTTCTTTTAATGATAACCACTTATTTAGTGTTGGATCATTACATATACATAATGGTTGAACACGATTGAATACAGTAGATGAAAGAGTTGAATTCCCAATTCTTATCTCTTCTTTTTCTTCTTCTTCAAAGAATTGTGGTAAACATATTGAAGGTTTATTTGGATCAGCAAAATGACCAGGATATCTAGATGTAAGTCGACCAAATGTTGAAATTATTTTATTCAATTGCATATTCTCCATATGAAAAGCAATAAATGGTGCTAAATCTGTTGTTAAGGTAATTGATTCAGCTCGTTTAACATAATCACTATTCTTTGAATCGATCTCGTTTCTGGTCACACAGGATTGTAGTAAAACATTTCGTAAAGATTCAATTGTTTGTATATTACTATTTGGTCAAAGAAAGAAGAACAATAAGCATTAAGATATAAAATAAGAAATGGAAACAACCTTTCAATGAGTATAGATTTCTCTTTAGCAATATTATGTAATTGAATAAGTAGACTGGATTGTCGTTTACTTAATAATTCTATTAAATTTTTAAAATTTGCTCTTATTTCAAATTCAGCATTTAAAACATTTTGATCAAGTAATGGTTTATAATTAACAAGTCGTTGATAAAGATGATCCAATCGTTCAACAGCATCTTTTATTCTTGATTCCATTTTTAAATTAAGCCTAAAACTAGAAAAAGAAACACAAAATGGATAAGTTGAAGGTCTACAAGAATTCATGTTATTTAACATTTCTTAGACCTTTTTTCATAGTTGAAATCATGAGTCAATTGAAGCTAGACCACCATGGAAAACCTGGAAGCACTGGATGGCCGTTTCGTCCTATTATGGGACTCCTCGGCAGTGCGCGTCCACGATCCCGCACTCGCGAGATTCGGACCCAGGGCCTACAAGTCTAGCGCCAGAGCACTTAACCGATAGACCACTGAGCCGGCCGGCGTTCAACTAGCAAGACTTACCGAGTATGATAAGAATAACAAGAGCAGTAGATTATTTGAAATAACAATAATGCCTATAACAAAAGCATTTAAGAACCTGATTAAAAAAAGAAGTCATTTTACTAAACGTTTCCATCCACTAATCACGATTATCACGCGAAACCCAACCAAGTAGTCTGAACTTTCTAATATGGCTTCAGTCAACTATAAGTAAGGTGGAGGTCCCCAAATGCCCTGGTACGGCCGAGAGTGGGAAGAGTCACCTCTCCCTCTCGAAATGCTCTCATATGGCCAGCGAATATATAGCCTCTGCCACGGAAGTCCTAATCACTGCCTTCTCGTGGCGGGGGTGTTGTTTACGAAAGTGAGAGGACGAAAAGCGAATGTCCGGCGCTTTAACCGGGTCGGTGGACATGGAAAGTTCACCTAGGGGAGTTGGGAAACCCTGATTCCAAACCAATGGTGCACATGAGCTCCAGTATCCTGATGGAACGAATGGCGAATGAACCTGCTGTTGGTCACCGGCTACCATGGGACTGCATCTCCTCACGATGCTCCACTGTCTTGTGGATCAGATATTCAGGTCAAAGGCTCCGGGTGTGGCCCCCTAAGAAAACCATCTGCTTCAGTCTGGGCACCTGGTCAGTATCACAGCCCTCACACAAATCGAATGAGATTTGTGAGGCGCATATTTATCTGATGCTTCCTTGTACCAATATTTATGTGTTTAAATAAAAATAAAATAAAAGTAAGGTGGAATCATTCCATTTGCTGGAAACCAGTCTTTTAGTAGCACTGGGTGACAATGCAAGGATGTTTAGGATGCGTTTCCCCCGACTAAATGCTTGGCAGTATAGTACAGCTAACCGACTGACGACCTTTGAGCGGCCTTGAGAATTTCCAGCTACTTGCTAGTGTCAAATGAGAGTTATATGCCTGTGTGAATAATAAGGATTGTGATTTACAGTTGATGGTTTAGGTTAGGAATTTGATTAAAAGGTTTCATCACGAACTGACATCAGCTAAAATCCCGAAAGGCTCTTTGACCAATTAGATGAAAGAATTTTGCGCCGAAATCGTGCATATATTATAGTCTCGCCAGTAACCTTTTACAGGCAAAACAAAGATATGCCGCACGACGACGAAATTTATGCGTGATATGGCAGCACAACTTTATTCTGGAAAAAAATTAGGTGTATAAAACCGAGAAAATCTAAGCATTGAAAGTTATTACATGGCAAAAATATAGCAACCGTTATAGCACTTAAGGGAAAATACAGTAACAAACAAGTCCGAGGAAGCGCAGCAAGAATAGAGCGCGCTTCCTAGGATCAACATCCAATTAGCGTGCAAATTAGGGTTTGCTGTAACCACAAAAAGAACATCAGAAACTATTGTTACAAACATTTATTGTATGCGAACAAGAAGAAACAGAGGAAACGTTATTGAGAAATATTAATAGTTGCCACATTTCAAATATGCGCCTTGATGACAAAATTAGCTTCTAATAATACTGTTCTATTAAGCTTCTGTATATGATTATTTTCCATTTAATGAAGTGTTTAAATTTGCAGGTAAAAGTTCTACTGGTATCGATTTCCAAGAGTTGATTATTTGGTGCTAAAATTCTTATCCCACCAGGACTATTCGTCTTCAACTTTGGAACTTACAGTGACATGTATATTCCATAATTTAGTTAACAGTAAAAAAACCCACTTTTTTTTCTGTATTTGTGTCCTTTTATGTGTAACCACACCTATATTTCATACCTACTGTTCTTCTGGATTGACAGTGAAAGGACTTTAATTAATCGGCTATTTAATACTCATGTTACTGTTAGTATTCAAAAAAGTATGTCACCGCTGATTAGTCTTCTCCTTCATTGATCATGGTCTGTGACTGAAAAGTATAATAGCTTTTCCAAATCTTTTTAGACCGCTTCACACTATGTGAGGGCTCATGTCTTGGATTCGATGACGCTATCCGATTTATATTTCGATTCACATTGTCTGTGTCAATCGAGTGAACTCTGTTTGTGGCGGTTATCCCAGAAGCAGTTTTCAAGTAACATGCATCACGTTCCTGACCCTTTCCATGACCTCATCCACACACTGGGTCCCCAATGTTGAAATTTACCGAGCCCGAGCGCGCTATTCGAACGGGAAGTTTAGTCCTAACGTGATTTACATTTCTCAAACTTTTGCTGTGTTCTTACGCATCAAAAGTATCATTTTCAATCCAAAAAATCTATTCTGAGCTATACGTTCGGTAGATTACTTCTTTTTTGTGTTTCACTCAAATTAATAGTTAACTGTGGTTTTGCCTCAGCTCACTATCGGTTTTTTTTTATAGTTTTCACGTAAAGGCTAGCTTTAGCTTATAGTTAACTGTTTTTATACATTTTTGATAGTTTTTGTTTACTGTGTGTTTTTTTAACGGTCCTAAATTTACTGCTTATATTTTTAAGACAGTCTAAATCACTAGCCATGAAAAATTCATGCAAGAGACCTGGTTGCCGTTTTGCCGTTACATCTGGCATGCAATGTGACAACTGTAAAGGTTGGTTCCATGAGGCATGTACAGATCTAACAGCAGCAGCCTATAGCAGACTCAGCAAGTCTGATCGTAGGTGGGTATGTGTTACCTGCAACACCCATACGGTAGTTATGTTGGGTACTATCATTACTTTACTGACAGGTCTGAGAGATAAGTTGTCTAAGAATTCGGTAAATGATATCATCATGACGGGTAACAAAGCTGGAACGCATAGGGCAAATAAGAAAAAGGATACTGACAGGTCGGTTATCGACGGTGCTGTTAACAGCACGAGTGATGATGTGCTGAAACTCAGCACCATCTTAACATCGACTGTCATCGACTCCCTCAGTAAACTTCGGTCCCCCGGGGAACGGTCCTTGAATGAGACAGTGGTTCCTAAAAATCCTGTAGGTGGATGGTCTCACGTTAACAGGAGTAATAAAGCCCAAGCGTCCCCTCCGAAACTGAACGTCCCAAGTATCGTGCGGAAATCAATTGATGCTTTGGCCGCACAGTCTACACCCAAGACTGTCCTCCCGGTCATCACTGAGCCCAGGAATCGAAATCGCGCCTCGACATCCAAACAACAAGATACCAAACCTAGACGCCCTGGAAAACCTGGGAAACCAATTGCGGTTCGTGACGACTCTGTCATAATCATGAACCTTATTGACAACTCCGACCTTCCTCTCAGTTTGCAGGACAAAAACGATAGGATGCTCTGGGGAGAACTAATCAAGAGGCTTGAACTCCCTAGAATAGAGCCTTTGACCGTCACACGGCTCACTCGGGGGAAGGACTCTAACCACCTAAACCACCCGAGGCTGCTTCGTGTTACACTTAAGAATGCCTCCGACGTAGAGGACGTCCTGCTAGCCAGTCACTTACTGAGGTCCGATGGGAACGTAAGAATACTGCCCGACATACCGTATTCTGAACGAAATCTCATCCGGAACATCCCTAAGGAATCTCGCGACGCGTTTTTCCGTGGACGAAATATCATTGTGCAAGGTGTGCCGGAAAATATGGACCCAACTCAAGCAAACTCTGATATTCGGGAATGGAAATTCATCAAGCATTCCTTAAAACTCAAGAACATATTGACTCAACAGGTAATGAGACTGGCCAAGAGAGACGGAGACTCTAGGCCCCGGCTGCTGAAGATAACCTTCCCCTCCTCCCACATGGCGGCTGCAACTCTGAAAGCATTTCGTGCCAATAGACGTCGGTTGCCAACTGGCATCCATATGCATCCGGATAGGCCCCACGACAGCAGGATCAAGCACAAACAAAAGCTGGAGCTGACAATTCCACTCGTGGACTGTCTTGATCATAAAAAAACGTGTAAAGGACAGGGACTACCAACTCGGTAAACATCGTATAGGTAGGCTACCTGTCCACTCACACACGGCTCATATAGACAACAAGAAGAGGCTCACGCGTTCCAAATTGAAAGCATAAACTGCCTATACACGAACGCCGCGAGCTTGCCAAACAAAATGGATGAGCTACGTGAACTTAGCAACGCTAATGATGCCCATCTGATAGGAATATCCGAAACTTGGATAACGTCTCAGTTTACGGACCAAGAGTTAGCAATAACTGGGATGTCTTTATTTCGCAACGACAGAAAAACAGGAATGGGGGGTGGGGTAGCACTATACGTACGGTCATGCCTGGATGCGCACCAACTTCACAACCAAGAGTTTCACAATCTTGACGAGTTTGTATGGTGCTCAGTAAGATTATCTACCACCTCGAGGTGCCTAGTTGGGGTCGTTTACAGGAAGCCCACTGCCGACATCGAATATGACAAACGTCTGCTGGAAGGATTAACTCGCTCCACGCGTCTCGGATTCTCTCATATCCTGACTCTAGGGGATTTCAATCTTCCTAGAATCAAGTTCGTGGAACATACATACATTGGTGGTGCCAACTCTACTGAAGCTCTGTTCTTCAACCTTATCGGCGACCTGGGATTATTTGAAAATGTGAAGTCGGCAACCCGTTAGAGAAACAGTCAGACGCCGTCACGCTTAGACTGGGTATTCACAAACGAAGAATTCCTAGTTGACGACCTCTCAATCCTGGCTCCCCTGGGCAAAAGTGATCACGCCGTCTTATCATTCAGCTTTGTCAGCAAGACGGAGCTACGATATCCTACTAGCAACAAGCGCTGGAACTTCAAACGGTTGAATGTGTTAGCTTTACAGGACTATCTTCAACAGGTGGATTGGGATGTTCGCCCTCAAATTGAAGTGGATGCTCATTGGGATTTTTTACTGCACACGATCTTATGTGCTACTGAGCATTCAGTTCCTAAAATGGTCCCAAAAAGCTACAAGCAACCTGCAATCATGAAGAACCGCACTCGTCGTTTGATAAGCCGCAAAAGGCACTGTTGGGCTGAATATAAACGAACGGATAACAACGGCGCGTACAGGCAATACAAACATATAAGGAACACATGCACAAAGGCAATAAGAGAAGACAGGCTTCAGTTCCAGACCAAGCTTATCGATAGATTCGTCTCCAATCCGAAAAGCTTGTTCAGTTATGCAGCTTCTCTTCGACAAGGCAAAACTGGAGTTTCCCAACTGCTTGGTCCTAATGGCCCGACCAACAACGACAGTGATGCCGCTAACCTTTTGGCTGAACATTACTCCCGGACATTCCAACTGACCCACATCAACCATACTGACGAAAGCTTCACCTGCACCTGTACAGGACTTTCCGAAGTGGACCTGAGTGCTGACTTGGTGCTCCGTAAACTGCAGAACCTAAAAAAAGACACTTCTCCTGGTCCGGACATGGTTCATTCCGCTGTATTGAGGGAAGCAGCTTCAATCCTGGCGACACCACTTAGCGTGATGTTTGCACACTCGCTAAGCAGAGGCAAACTACCGGAAATATGGAAGCTGGCCCACATCACACCAATTTTCAAAGGAGGTCGACGCAGTGAACCCTCAAGCTACCGACCAGTGGCCCTTCTCTCCATACCTTCAAAAATTATGGAATTTCTGATATACGACGGCATACTAGAACACTTATCATCCTCAAAGTTCTTCTCGCCTCAACAGCATGGTTTCAGAAAAGGTCATTCTTGTATGACCAACCTGCTGACTGCGGTGGATAGATGGACAACCATCCTTGATCGCAAGGGGAAGGTTGACGTCATTTACCTGGACTTCTCAAAAGCTTTTGATAGGGTCAACTATGCATGTCTTATCAAGAAGCTTGGACGATTGGGTATAAAACCCCCTTTAATTGACTGGATCACTTCATACCTAGAAAACCGACATTTTAAGGTCAGGGTTAACTTCACTCTCTCTCAGGCTATGGAATGTCCTAGTGGGGTCCCCCAGGGTTCAATACTAGGACCTCTTCTCTTCTTGATTTATATTAACGATCTTCCTCAACAAGTCTCATCTGATTTATTGCTTTTTGCTGATGATGTGAAACTTTGGAGAGAGATACGTAATCATAATGGTATACTAGTTCTTCAGGAGGATCTGACTCGACTTCAAAGTTGGGCAGACGACAACGGACTTACCTTCAACACTTCAAAGTGCAAGGTAGTCCATCTGAGACATGTTGCAGACTATAGTTATAACTTAGGTAACTCACCTCTAGAAGTTTCCCAAGTTGAAAAAGATTTAGGTGTGTTGGTACCTTATGACTTGAAATCGTATGCGAACTGTAACAAAATCGCCTCTCAAGCAAACCTTGCACTGGTAACATTGAAGCGCATTTTCGGCCAATTTGACGGTAGAACCTTCCACATAATCTTCAACAGTTTTATTCGTCCCC